GATGAAGGAGCAGGAGAAAACCAAGGGATCCCCATCCATCTTTGTGGCACAGACACCATCTGTCTCTTCTTTTAAACGCCCACCGACTGCCTTACCCTGAACACTGCATCTGCTGCAGCTTTTACACATCTGAAGTTAGAGGCGATTCAATTATCGTAATTTGATTTCAGCGTTCGATGGAAAATCTTGCTCTGTCATTGTGTGGTACAGACAGGCGGCTATTGCTTCTGAAACTTTTACCTTAGATCAGTTTTTATGGCATTTAACTTCTTTTTACTCTAGTGCAGTTATTCTGTGTTTACCAGCTGCCTCTCCGTACGTGACCCCTTAAGACTGACACAAATACCTGTATTTATTGGCTTCTGGACCTTATGTTCTATAGCCATGATTAAATGCGTCTATTCTATATTATACACATTAATCACAGTCTATAGCAGCTCTATTATGTTATATTTGAGTCCATGATGCAGTTCTTGTTTTTGTCCTTGTGACTCTTTGTAGATGTAAAATGTTTATCTTTGTGCTGAGGGCGTCATGATCTCCCTGCAGGCTCCGCTCTCACTAACACAAACTGAGCGCGCGCCACTCAATACTGTCTTTTTCTCTTCACAGTTTTCTGTCACTTTCAAGAGCTGAACATTTCCAGCAGATACAGCCATACTGGGGATTAACTTCTACCTTAAACACGAATGCATGCGCACACATTTGCATTGGGTACATTTGGAGACAGGGATCCTTGACGTTGTTTATGGCACTAAACCCACGGAGCTGTCAGTGATGAACTGCTAAAGCTGGAGAGAGAATATGCTTTTCTCCACTCACTATCTGCTTTCGGAAGTTTTTGTCTTGTTTATCTTTGTCACACTGAGGCAGCAAACGAACAAAACATAAGCAACAACACCTTTATTTCAAAAGGACCGCATGTAATATCCACTCTTAGTTTTCTGATAAAGTCTTAACATGTTTGTTGCAAGAGTCTTCTTGCCTGTGACAGATGTAGCTCCTAAGCACTGAATACTGATGCAGACCACCTGCTGGAGTTTAGAGAGACGGTATAAACTATAGTTATGTATTTGCTTTACCTGGTTTCCTTTATATATATGTGGGGCTCAATTTTGTTTCTGTATGTAAGAAAATATTCCATCTAAAATGTCATTGAACAAACCCAAATGAGAGACACATTCTGCACTGGTTACATATTTTTGCTTGACAATTGTAAACATATATAATTTATACTTAAAACGTACATACACTTTTGTTAGGATTGTAATGCCTTGTGTGACTGTCTCTATTTTGTTACGTTCACCACTTTGCGTTGCCTTGTGTATGAATTGTGCTATACAAATAAACTTGCCGAAAATGATTTGGTAAAATTGTTTGTAAAATTATATTGTCCCTTTCCCTAATTATTGTTTTTTTCAGTAGTGCACACTCATTTAGCATCACATCCCGATCTGTGACGTGTGTCGAGTGAGCAGAAGGAGCTTAGTCTTTTAATGGACTACTCAAAATAAATATAAACCAGATTTAATATCTATAGTGGCAAAATGCTAAAATAAACTGAAATAATAACAAGGGGGTAAATATATATATATCCTCATCTCTCCTGCGAGGTGGACCTGCAGACTCCCTGACCATACGTGTAAAATGCAGGTGATTTTTAAGGCTGTGTAAGAACATGGTAATTGTGATAATCCTGTTTTGTTCGTCTCGGCAAATGATACTCTGTTTGAGTGAAAATGCTGTTTACATGTGTGTGTGGGGAAAGTGATCAGAGCGATAGTGACTTCCACAATGATAAATCTGGGTCAATGTTACCCCCACCCCCTCCACCACAGGCGATCGTGAGAAAGGAGAAAAAAGAAAGGCGGATACCCTCAGCAGACTGCACTGTGCGTGGACTTAAGCATGGCCACACAACAACTGCTTCCATGGGTCGGTATGGATGCTCTGCTGGGACAATAAAAAGCCTTTCCCAAAGTTATATACATGTTTCCCTGTCTCAGTGCAATGTGTGGTTTACATGTTCACAGTCGTGCCCTTTAAACTCTCCTGAACCGCTTGGCTCATGTCAAATGCTGTTGTCTTCACTAACTATCTGTTCTGTGGAAACTATATGTGGAATACAGTAACTAACATGTTTTCCCCTTAAAAAATGTGTCAAAATTCAATATTTCTCTTACAGTTGGGATTAAAGCTAGGGTACCTAACCTTCGTACCATGTGATAACACCAAACTAGTCTTTTCTCTCAATTATTTTTGTTCTGCTACTATTGTTGTCTCATGCATGTATCTCTTGCTCTCTGTCACATATTTTTCAGACAGAAAAGAGGAAAAATAGAGGACTACCCTCACTCAGCCAATCAGATCTCTGCATCCAATAGTAACTCTTAAGCAAAAAATGTTTTCTCATAAGCTGGAGACAGCACATTGAGGTCTGATTTGCTCTCAACATTTTACTTCTACTCTTTCTGTTGGAACAAACTCAATACATTCATAATGAAGTTAGGTACCCCAGCTTTGAGATGTAAAAACTACTGTTAACAAATTACCCAGAAAACATACTTCTTTTTGAATGAAGAAACTTTACATATAGTGGGATTTTATGCAGACCAGGATCTTGGTGAGTGATAAAAAACAAAACCCTAATACAGTTTAATGTATCAAAGGAGCAGAGTGCTTTTTGTTGCCAATTCCAAGGCCGTCCTTTTGCCAGAGCCATCCCGGTTCAGCTCAAGCCCAAATTAAAGTACTTCATCAACAACTCCAGAGCACTGCAGATTAATTATATTCAGGGGGTGGATGTTTTGCTAATGAAAGCCATTTTTCTTTGTCAGCCAATTGTTGGAAGTCATATCATGAATAGAAATTGAGCTCGAGAAGTGAATTCATCCCACTAATCACCCCATATGTAAATGTGACACAACGTTTTTGGTGTTTTATTTCTGTTCCAGTTTGGAAAGTGGTCGATGTTTGTTTAGTCAGCGCTACTGCCTGGATGTGTTGTATTGTTTTCTCTCCTCATATCATGGCCTGGACCTTTGCTCATGTCACATTGGCTTAAAGGAGCTCCTTAACGGGAGATAGACCTAAACTGGAGACTTTTAATGATTTAGGCAGAAATTATAGATGTTCCAAAACCTATACTGGAAGGAAAAAGCTCCAATTGTATTAAACATGTAAACTCTCGGGTCAGGACTCCAGTGAAAAAGAGATTCTGGATTCTCAATGGGACTTGACTGGTTAAATAAAAGGGTCACTTGCATCCGGTATCAGTATAACTACTTCCTCGGTAAAAAAATAAATAATGAGTGACGACTGGGAGCATTCTCCAGTGAATTCTATTATCAGGACGAGTTCAGAGCCAGAGGAAGTAATAACAGCAAATAAGGACGAAAACACAACTTCTAACAGTCAAGAAGAGATTGACAACTTTGTTACAGACCAGAAAGCTAAAAACACGATTAGGAAAACCAAGTCGGACATGAACATACTTCACAAATATCTAAAAAGCATTGGTAAAGACACAGAAGAGATCTTGAGAACTTACCAGCGGGCGACCTCAACCCTCTGATAAGCAAGTTCTTCATGTCATTTGACAGTTTGGTTGCATGTGTTTTTGCTAGATGAAACCAATCAATATTTGCATAAATTAAAAATAGTCATATAATAAAACCTTATTAACCTCGCTTGCTCGGTCTGTACAGAGAAATATCAGACCTTTGTTTTTTTGCACAGACCTCGCCGGTCTGATATTTCTCTGTACAGAACTCGTGCTCGTTTAATAAGCCGTTATTATTATTCTGAAATTTAGTGTGACACATTATTACTATGCCTGGTATCTGACTGGTATCAGTATCAGCACTACTTATCAATTATCGGTATCAGGTTGGATCCTAAATAAATAGTATCCAAGTCTTCCAAGCAGAAACTAGTTCTAAAATACCTTCTATGTTAGTGTAATGATTAGTGCACATGCTTAATATTTGTGTACAGCAGTTTTTGAGATGATCTTTTTAGTGCGACATGTGACATATGCAAACTGACAGGGTAGTTGTCCGCTCTAATTAGTAAGAAGCCTCACTCTTATTAGGATTAGCCTGGATTTTGGAAATAGTATTTATAAGATGCCGTCTATAAACCTCCTTAAATATGAATGTGAATGAGCACTTGGCCTTGATATAAGCTGGTAACAGGCTACGAGGTGCATGTTATGATTGGATTCAGCTCAATGCTTTATTTGCACAAGCCTATTCAAAGCCAGACATGGACCTCTATCAATGTTACTTTGACTTCCTTTCAAATGTTGCAAAACTGAAAGGAATACATATATGTTTGTTGTATATTACTGATTTAAAGGTGCACTGTTTCTTCTGGAGGATACTACCTGCTTCAGATAGATGTTAGTAATTGTGCAATCATCAAAGCAAACAATCTAGCATTAAGCACATCCATCTTTGATCTGTGATGGATCATTCCCAGACAAGGCCTTACGCTTGATTTTGAAAACGATGAGACCAACCTGCAGTTTAATAAATCTCATAGATAATTTGAATGCCATACTGTAATGTCTAAACAAAGTAACCTTTATTGAGACAAATCAAATGTATTTGTATACCACAGGCAGGGTACATAGTGCACTTTTGAAAATATACAACCCACAAAGCTTGCCTCTGTAATGATCACAAGTCAAAACACTTTCTCAAATTGATCTGATTGTGGAAATCAAATTTGAACTTGAATTTGATCACCATCACTTGAGAAAGGATATATTTTTGACTTAATTGTTGATGCCATTCCCAGCATTCTAATCTAATACGATTGTGACTTTACATTTCATTTGTATGTGGGACATAAACAACATTAAAATCAGATGAAAGAAAACTACTAAATTGTGTTATGAACAAATGAAATGTAATCTTTCATCCATGAACATACACCACTCTAACAAAGTCTTTTCTCTTTCTCTCTTCACCCCTTACAGTCTCCCACCGGCCCAAATGCCTCCCCTGCCCCTCGACGAGCGCATAGTGGTCATCCAGCGCCCTAAGACCTTGGCCTTGGGTGAATCACCTCCCCAGACCATCCAGCAGCACTCCTCACACATCTCTTCCTCCGCAAACGGCCAACTCCCTCGTTCGTCTCAATTCCATCCACCACAGTCCAACTTCTACTCCTCGACCTGCAAGTCTCTGAGTTTGGAATGCAAGCGGCGGACATCTCGTACTCCAAAACACCCGGGGAACCTGCCTGTCGTTCCAGTGGGGGTTCGACACTCCCCTAGCTACTGCCACAGCAATGGCACGGTGACCCTACCCTCCCACACACATACTATCGATATCAAAGTGACAGTAGACAAAGGGGGCCGTGGAGCTGGACGCAGCAACTCTTTGCGGGGAAATGCAATTGCCAAAGGCGGTCGTGGGAAATGCATTTTGTCACAAGTAGATCCAGAACCATGTAATAGGAAGCTACAGGTACCGGCTGGGAGATCGGATGGAGTAGAGAGGTGTCAGCGAAGTCACCAAAGACAATTAAGCCTGTCTCCTGGAGGAGGGCTGCAGTTTGTCCCAGCACAGTCCCAGACTAAATTCAGGGCTGAAAAAGAAAGCAGCACCTACCACACCCAAAACAATCAGGAGTATTCTTCCTTGGGACACAAGAAAACCTCCAAACTGGGAACGGTCCATCAAAGCCATAACACTCACAGTCTGCCGTACCAGCACAACACGGTCCCCCTGCCCCATGCCTCCGTCCTGAATTCAAACTTCACCCCCTCACCTCCCTCCCAGCCCCCCCAGCCCCCTAACCCAATCAAACAGCTCACCCAGCCCCGCCCGTCCCGCCCTAGAGACCCACGCCCGCACCTTCTCCATGGCCTGCCCTTGTCGCCCGGCTCCTCACACAATGGCACCTTCCCGAGTCCAGACCACACCTGCACTATCGACTGCACTCACCCGTTCAGCTGCAGCTGCTGGAGGATGCTGAGATGCAGGGGTTGTAAAGGCCGTTCGGCGAGCTGCCACGGAGGAGGCGGGAGCACGTCCACCGCGTTCTCCTGCGTCCATAATGTCACGGCAGTCAACAAAAGGGGAAGCAAAGACATCAAGCATTTAGGGGGCTGTTTATCCACTGCTTCAACAACCAACACCTCATCTTCTAATAGCACTGTGTCCGACTGCCGCGGGAAAATGTTTAAGCCTTGTGCTTCCTGTTCTGGGGACGCGAGCACCTATGAAAGTCCTGCGATACTTCGAAAAAGATTGGTCGGAGGGTGTTTGCCGTGTAACCCCTTGTCTTCTGGCCCCATCCGAGCGCTGCAGAGCTGTGTCACAGGCTGTAATCCTAAGACTTCACAAACAGGCAGCTCCACATGTAGTTATTGTAGTAGTGACCCGATAGTTGTAACGTATAACCCTCATAGGCCCAAACCTCCCGCAGCAAGAGCAATTGGAGGAGGTCAGCCTGTGGGAATGTACCCGCATGATGATGATGACTACAATGTTCGCAATATCTGGCCTGAAGAACTGGCTAAAAAGATGGCCCGTTCAAAGTCACAGAATCTGCGTCCAGGGCAAATGGGGAAATCCTGCCCTAATCAATCACACAATATCGGCAATGGAACAAGTTTCCTTTTGGACTGTCAAAACCTCCCAGATTACGGCCACACCCCGGATTATGAAGGACGACACAGATTTCCACAAGGAAAAATTTCCGCATTCGATTTTAAAGGTTACAGGTCAGGGCACGATGAAGGCCACAATTCACTGAACAGACTGATTACGAAGGAAGATAGAGGACTCAGGGAGCATCTCGACACAGACCATGATGCCACATATCCTCACGCTCCTCCTCGCCCTAAATCTCCCCCGTCACCAGTGTCTTTCTCTCCGCCACCCTCTGCCCCCAGCACGCTGATCAAACCCAAGCCAAGGCCACGGGACGGAGGCCATTCTCTGCCCTCCGCACAGTCCCTGCACCTGGCCTTGAACTCCTTCAACAGAGGGCAAGACGAGGAGAACAGCAGAAGTAAGCATGAACATTCTTCCATTACTTAATGGAACATTTTAGTCCCTTATTGTGGGTGAAATAGCACTATGGTAATTTTTTATTGGTCAGAAAGTAATATATTTTCACTGTTTAGGCGCATATAAACCGAACCATGTCTGCACCATATGCCATGAAATCATGCTTTTATGGTACTTACCTTAAAATGCTGTTCTAATGTGACACACAGTGTGTATCAGGATGCTTTTGGTAGTGGAAACAGAAACATAAATGTCATGGCTGTGGCTATTTTTGGATACAATTGATCCAGTGTTGATACTGCTGCGGCTACCAATGGGAGTATCGCGCACACAATACTTTTCTGTATTGCATAAGACAACACATATATATAAATGCAAGATTTAAGCAACATAACATGTAACAATGTAAGTACATTATTTATATTTATACCATGCTCTTCACAGAGAGTCACAAATACCCTCAAGTAAGAATCTAAACATTCTCAAATGGGTGACAACAAAAAAAAATCAGATGAATGTCAGCTTCTTACACGTGCTTTACGTATCTTGTCCTCTCTTGCAGGACACCTGACGCTGCCACTCTCCTCCTCACTGCCTGCGTGTCTGTCCGAAGAGAGCGCCATGACTCCGGATGCAGAGAATGCCGTCATTAGTCCCATCCTACCTTTCCTTTACCTTGGGAACGAGCGAGACGCCCAGGACTTGGATCTGCTGCTTCGACTCAACATCGGCTTTGTGGTGAACATCACCACTCACCTGCCCCTGTACCATCAGAAGTCTGGTCTGCGCTACAAGAGGCTGCCAGCCACTGACAACAGCAAGCAGAACCTGCGACAGTACTTTGAGGAAGTTTTCGAGTTCATTGGTGAGAGTCCCATTTCTGTAGTATTTATTTATACTTGTGTGCATGAGAGAGTATATTTAGTTAGATTTTTATTTTGGCATTGTCCCATTTCACCCTAAAACTTTGTTATAGTCAACGCTATTATAACTTGAAGTAGTGCAGTTTTCACACGTTTTGAACATGTTGTAGTGGCAGTGTAGTCTAGTGTTGTAGTGTTATTTACACACAAAGCTGTTTTTAGAGTGATTCATGCATATTTGAGTTATTTATAATATCCGTGAGACACCATTGTGCTCCCCTTTAACAGTCCTTTCCTAACAATAAAACAAAACATCCATTTGTATTCTGTATAACCAATTGATCTTGTCCACAGAGGAGGCATATCAGAGTGGACAGGGGGTCCTAGTGCACTGTCAAGCCGGTGTGTCCCGCTCTGCCACAGTGGTCATTGCTTATCTCATGAAGCACACCCTCATGACTATGACAGACGCCTACAAGTACGTGCGGAGTCGGCGCCCAGTGGTTTCCCCCAATCTCAACTTCATGGGTCAGCTGCTTGAGTTTGAGCGAGACCTGAACTCCGGAGTCACCCCTCGAATCCTTATGCCCAAACTTAACGGTGTGGAGACACAAGTGTGAAGCTACGCCCAGAAGCTAAGCCAGATTATTTTTAATGGAGGCTTGTCCAGTTAATCGTGCACTTTTAATACTGTGAAAAAAGTTGGATGGACTGAATAGCTGACAAATCAAATTCCCCTCACGCAGTTTTATATATGTGCCAATGTTTTATATAGTCCTTCAGCCATCAAATTTTCCATTTTTTTCACAACTTTCTTCACAATTGCATGCTGTTTATTAAATGTTCATGTTCATTAAAAAAAAACAGCACATGTAGCGACCCAAAGCACTTTACTGCCCATCAACATTGGGGTCACCGGCTGGACCTATGCGGAAGATTCACATGGCTTTTAGTGTAGGTATAGCAGACATTTACATGAAGCTAAAAATATAAAATAACTTGTTTACTGGTAGACATTGGTAGCACATGGCTGAAAATACAATTAAGACAGTAAAGTCAGCTTGAGCTCTATACTGTAACTGTGCTTTAGAAAGACCACTTTTAACTGTGCTCACTCATGTTTACAATTCATCCTGAAATACAGTCTTGTCTGTTTTTATTATGTTTTCTAAATTGGATGAGACTAAGTGCACTGAAATCAAGCATGAGACAAGTAGCAAGGAACCCACTTTACTAAACGAAACATGACTTTTTGCCTTCCTTCCATTCATGACTATGCATTACCCTGGATCTAAAAGCATTTCTTTAAATGAAGGTTATATAAACTCACTGTGAGTTTTTACTGTTATCCGCCAACAGGGGAGGGGGGGTTGTTATTGTACTGTGATGTTGGCGGCACTCTCCAAGTGCACATTCTAGTTATTATTCTAGCTAATGCAAGCCTCAAGCCTATTAAATAACTTATTTTAATGAAGTTAAATTCCAAAAGTATTGAGCTAAAGGTTGTTCAGTGTTATGATTTCATTTTGGATTTAATATTTTGCACATTTTATTTATTGATGACATAAATGATTTAATTACGGTCACCACTTGCTTGTGCTTGTACACAATGCATTTTCTTTGTTCATCAGTTGTAGACGAAGTGTGATGTCTTTATTTAAGAAGGTTTCTTAATGCATGACTTTGGAAAACACAAAAATTAGTTTTATATCCATATAATGTGGAGATGGATTTGTAAAATCGAAAATAACAATGATAATGACAATAACGGATGCATTGACCTTATAAAACAGCAAATAGAAAACTGATTAACACTTGGGACAATGAGAAGCTGTTACAAAGTGAGAAAACAATGCATTTGATGATGGCTGTTTTGTACCCTGTGTTTTGGTAATGAAATATGGAAGCCCCGGTTTCATAATTAACATAATAATAACCACCCTGTACTTAGAACCAAAATGCCTTTGACTTAGCCTTGTTGTGTTGCTACTCTGTGATATGTTGAAGTTGATTTGAATTGACTTAGACCCTATTCTTCCATAGCTCTCAGACCTCAGTTGTATTTTTTTATATACCTCTTTCGCCTTGATTTTTGATGGAAAATATGCCACTCATGGTCCCGTCTCTGCAGGTTGGCTTTTCAAATGTCCTGTCTCCGTGTTTATACAGACTTATATGCAAAGACACTTTTGGGAGTCGTTCGTTATGGACATGAGTCAAAGCTGACCTCAGACATTTCTACTGGGAGATCAAAGGACATGAAGACTTTTTGTTTAAGCTCCCAGGGCCAGTACCTCAGTGAGAGCCGTTGTGAAATGCTTGTATGGAGCTCAATGACATCCAAAAGTGGACATCTCTGTATTACATCCATGTAAATGTGTGCATTTTTAATGTCTTTACTCATGTTTGTAATTACTATTGTTTTGTTTTTTTGAGATATTGTCTTAATCCCTGAACCAAATACTGCGTTGAATCATCTTGATAATGAGAGTACCACTATACTAACGTGACAGGCGGACCACCACTTCCTTCGTCTTTGGAATAAAAAAACTCTTCAGGTTTATCTTCATTATACTGTGCTCTTGACCTCATCATGGCTTTATTGAACAAACCTGATGAAATCCCTATTGCCTTTTAGGTGGTTTTTGTTTTCTATGAGGGTATTATTTTCTTATTGTCGTATGTGTATAATCAAAGCTCCCTGTAGTCTCTTCTCTACAATACAGACTAGAGGTGCACTGTGACAAAATAATGCTGCTATTATTACAGGACGACGTTTAATCAACACACGAGGAGCTCTCTGAAAACGCCAGCTGACACTGCTCTGGTCCCGATATGTGTATACTGCACCAGTGTAGAATGTAGGAATAAAATATGAAATGAATTGTTTAAAACATAAAATAAATAAATGTGAAAACGTGAGTTACTATGGAGAAAAACACTTTGGGTCAGGCTGTTTTCAAGAGTCATTTCACCTCAGTTAACTCATATATGTTAACACTACTCTTCAACTATAACACTAACAAGCTTAATATATACAACTGAATTAGGTTTGCTATTAGTGGAAAATGTCTACTAGAAGCAAATGAGAAAAAAAGAGTAAATAATCAATGTATAATAATCATGTAGCACAAAACAGTATATGCAAAGTAGTTCTGTGTTATACTTGATACGTTGACTTCCACAGATTAGTGGGACGTAGTCTGGGTTACGTTGTTGAATCCTTCATAAATGCAGTGCCCAAAGCTGATGTGAATCCATCAGATCATTTTACAATCAGCACTCTACCTGTATTTTTATTTATATATTTTTACGTTTGTGAAAAAAAATAATGTATTTTTCGGCGACTTAATGCTGTCCTGTCTCCTTTTCTGTTGCTAAATATATATTGCATTACAATTCCAAATTAATGACTGGATTGTGAAGTTGTCGATGTTCATTTGAAGTAAACACACTGGAACTGGCTCTTTGAATAAAACAAAAGATAGAAAATGTTTTGTTGGTTATTTGAATCTTAGAGTGTGTGTGTATGTGTGTGTGTGTGTGTTGCAAATGCAAGCCTTCAATACACCACCGGTTTGTGATTGGCTGAAAAGCACTTCATTGAAAGACCACAGTGATGTGTGAATGAAGCAGAGTTATCGATCCGTCCACTGCATTAATGTCAATACAAACACCCAATAGGGAGTGACAATTTACACCAGCACCAGAGCCCTGTTGCATAAGAGCCTGTATCACCCAGGGACGATCAATCCATAGGAGAGCTTCAAACCAACTGAACAGCTTTGGCTTGTGTATGAAAAGAATATACTCATGATATTGGCACCCGGTATAAAGCCAGTGAAATGGGCAGCACATCAATAAAAACGGACTGAAACGTTGTACTAACTTACTTTCATGTTTGTTGTTTACTCGGTAAAAAACAATAAACTAAATTTAACGTGAAGTTATATAATAGGTTTATTGTACAAGTTTTCAGGCAAAAAACAAAAAATGCTGCATCTCCTCAAACTATAGGCCCACTATAGGCCCACCCAGGTTCAAAGGCCCACATTGATCCTGGGCCAGATGTGGCCTTTATGATGGATTGGCCAACAAAAATAATGTCTGAATACTTGGTCAGCATATCCAACTTTATCCAGCAGGTGGAGCCCTACAACGAGTTTCACATTTGGACTCGCTGCCTCTTCTGGTTAAATGGATTCAAGAAGAGAACATAGATTTAAAGGAACACACATACTATTAACTGCTTTAGTGCAGCGGAAACGTACTTGTAATTAAACATTTATTTTATGGGCTATACGTAAACTTATTCACTGGGTTGAGGAATAGCATATTGATTAACAACTAAACGAAAGATTTGAATTATTGTGAATAGAGATAACATCCCATAATGTTGCATTAAAAGAAGTCTGAAAAACCAACCAACAGATCGCAGTCATTTAAGTCCGCTGCCGCTCTTCCCTGTTGCTGTCCACATTGAACAGTCCACCTATTTGACTTTGATGTGGTAGGAACCATTCCTTGTCTGAAATAGGGGGGGTCTAGTGCCACGACTCTGCTCTTCTGTGTGAGTGTGAGAGTGAGGGGTGGGGTCCGGCTGCTCTTATATCCTCGACTAAACCCCAAGAGGCAGAAGTGAGGAACAGAAGACAAGAGCCAAGGCCCGGAGAGCCGCAGAGGGGGAAAGACAGCGCTGAGGAGGATTCATTACGGGTAAGATGCACACAAGCTGGAGGCTGAGACATCACACACAATGGAGAAAGCTGATGCTGAAAGGATGCGCTGGTGTGCTGCCCTCATCCTGCTGACAGCACCTGTATCTTTCTCATCTCTTGGCTCTTAGTTACGCTCACCGCTGAGGATCCAATTATGCACGGTGCTGTTTCTCTATGTTGTCAAACCTCAGCCTCCTCAGTGGTGTGGTTAGTGGGGCATGATGAGCCCGACAGATTTGATCTTATGATGGAACAGAGCATATAATAGTGCAGACTGAATACTTTGTCAGTAGATTGACTTTTTTTTACAAAGTTGGTCCTAATAGCTCACTAAGAAATCATTGTTTTAAATGCATACTCCTCAAAGCATGAATGACCAGTCTGTGATGACATGCCTTCTAAATAAAAAAGGATTACAGCTACCCTGTGCTTAAATCTTACTGTATTTGTATTTATTTTTAAATAGGATGAAAGGAGACACCCCAGTGAACAGCACCATGAGCGTGGGTCATGCCAGGAAGCTGGTGGAGCAGTTAAAGATGGAAGCCAGTTTCTGCAGGATAAAGGTATGGCTGTTCATGATTTCTACAATTAATTCAAGTAAATTATGACCTCTTCATTCGACCCCAGTGGGGAAATATCTTTCAGAATATTTCCACCAACAGAAACAAAGAAAATGTTAATTACCCCAGGGCAGCTGTGGCTGCAGCAGTAGTTGTACCACCATCGTGTGTGAATGATGCCACGTGAAGCCTTTTTGGGTGTCATGAAAAGCAGAGATGTAATCAGTATGCATATAATTTTTTTATTTATTATTATTTTGAGTAAGAAAAGTGCCTGTCAGTGTGCCCCAGGGCAGCTGTGGCTACAGCAGTAGTTTATCACCACTGTGTTTAGCGTGAATGAATAATGACGAATAATGAATAATGTGAAGCGTCTTTGAGTGTCCAAAAAAGTGCTATAAAACCGATGCATTATTATTATTAAATTGTCAATGTCTATTACCAAATCAACTGTTATTTAAACATAACATTACAGAAAGGTCACTTAACACAGTTGTTTGGGCTGTAGCTCTGAGGTCAATTCAAGGCTTAGTTCAATTGAACATATAAATATGTATTAAACACCTGTCCAGAGGGTTTTATTCATCTCCGAAATGAAAGATTATGTTACCGGTTGCTGTGTTCAGGTGTCAAAGGCTGCAGCGGACCTCATGGCCTACTGTGACGCACACGTCCGTGAGGACCCCCTCATCACCCCGGTGCCCACTTCAGAGAACCCCTTCAGGGAGAAAAAGTTCTTCTGTGCTCTGCTTTGAGACAAATCTGGGACTGTTATGGTCCAAGGTCCACTGTACAGTATGTAGATGCCTGCATAAAAGCTGCCATTTAACAAAAGAGATGAACAAGGGAAACAAGTTGAACAAAACCCTAAATAAAATCACATCTCCTGCCACACATCATGTACCTGTAGTACAGTAACTGCCAGAGCAGAGCTTGTAATATTTGTTATTGTCCTGCTGCTTCTTAACATTGATGTCCTGGTAAAGTATGTTTTTTTTTTCTAATGTCACATGGGACAGGCATAAAACCTGGGTGACAAAGCATCATGAATAGGAAGGCTTTGAATCATACAAATAAACAACCTTTTTATTGAATTGCAGATGACTTCCTTTCTTTATAAGTAATGATAAAAAAAATTATGTTTTAATTAACAAACTTGATTCATTATTATCCTTTTAGATGTTTTTCTTGTTTCAGGGACCTCTCCATGTCAGTGTTGGATTCGCCCAAAGTATGGCACCTGCTTTGAACTGGTGTCTGACTAATGTCAGATTGGGCGAAACCCAAACACAATAAGCTCACGTGGCAACCACTGTTGGGTGAAACTCAATTACTAATACTTGGTTACAGTAATTAGATTGTACTTTTCTGAAATGACTATGATAGTATACATTAGTTAATTGGAACATTTATACAAGAAAACACATTGACAACATTTAGGATCATTTTAATGTGGAAAAAAACCAGATACAGCGGGGCATGGCGTGTGGACAAGTTTGAAACTTTTTCCAGCAAAAAATCCTATTTAAAAAAAAAAGAAAATATGTCACCCCCATCTATTCTTTCAGGCACCCACACAACATTCATAGTGTGGAAGATGCTTTTTTTTTTGCCAGCAAGAGCATTGCAGAACATAGCAGCAGTATTTGTCCAAATCTACAGCCTCAGACGTTAAGTCTTCCCAACTCATTTACTGCTTTGACACAACTATCACATTGAATGATATTTGATGCATTTTTAGAACAAGTACTCAAGCGTTGTCCAATTATGAATCTTTATTTTCATCAAAAGTTAAAATGACAGTAGGAACAAAAATCTTCCAGTGTTGCAAGTTTTGAGGCACTCATGTATCATAAAAAAAAAAAAAAATCAATCTATGCCATATAGGGTTCTCAAAGCTTACAACACAAACACTCAAACCAGTGATGCACCGTGTGTGACGAACGCACTGTGAATCCATTACAGCGTACGTAAGATCTTCTGTGACAGTGAATGACATGAAAACAAGGCGAAAGCCAAATTGGGAAACAGTTACATTGTTTTAATTGAACACATTCTACAAAAAAATTTAAGAAGCATCTTTAAAACGTTAATTTTTACCCATTTTAAAATTCTTTGAATCTTTGAAAAGCAAACAAAGTTTTTTTTTTTTTTTTACCAAACAAGAAATCAAGCAATTTAATTGATTTTGGTGACATTTCCAAACAGCTTTTTTTTTTTTAATCCAAAAATGCATGTGTGAAGTGAACTGAGCAATCATGAGTTTGTATATTATGGTTGGAACATGTGTGTAACTTTGAGTGGTGATGCTAGTGTAGATTAAAATAGAAGAGGTAACGTATTGATTGAAAAGTAAACCATCAGCCGCCCAGTTTATAGGAATGAATCACACCATTCCTTTAGACAGCCAGAGCAGTCCCTTTGCTGTTTGCTGTTGGCTCCACAGGTATCCTTCAACCAGTCATTAAAAAGCTCTTCTTCCTTCTTTAGCACAAGGTACTGGCCCAGGACAACATACGCCTGTGAAAGACACAGCAAAAGATGCATTTTAGACAAACACACTGATTGAATCATAATATTTCTGGTTAAAAACAGGTGGACACCTTTCATTGATTCCCTAGTCTAAGTAGAAGAAAAGTGGAAACTTGATTTACATTCGTATGAAAAACAAGTCCTACTTGTTTTACATAAAACAAGTTCAGAAAATTCGGCACTGAAAAGCGCAACTACAGGATGAGTTCATTAACTTGGAAGCATTGCTAAACAGTTCAAACCTGATTTTATGTTGATATATTCCAATCCACTTTATTTATATAGCACATTTCATAAACAAGCAGTTTCCAAAGTGCTGTACAGCATGCAAAATGGCAACAAATTATATATATATAATCCCTGTGTACTACTGTCCTGTATGTGCGCTGCAACAACGAAATGTCCCCACTGTGGGACGAATAAAGGAACTCTTATCTTAATACATACATGTATATAAAAATAAATAAATAAAATAAAAACACAGGACCACACGACTCACTTATTAAACATAAGTCATTATAAAATGTAAGGATTGGAGTAGAAAGAACAGATATTTTGGTCTAAAAAGAAATGAGTAAAACGGAAAATAAGCACAGATCTTATCTTATCTAAACATGTTTAGACTCTTTTCCACCTCAGTTAAATTCATACATTTTAACATTTCGCTCTCTCGGCAATGCCCCATAAAAGCTAAAGATTGCACTGATCTTACCTTGTCAAATCCTTTTTCTTCCAATCTTTGACCCAGGACATCTCCGATGCCAGCCAGAGCCGTGACAGGCTTGTCTGCCATGGGCTCTGCCACAAAGTTCTTATGCTTTTGGGATGTGGACGACATGGCTGCGATCAGTGGTCACCAGTTCACTCACTTGGGAAACGAGAGAAGGATGAAAACTGTAATAAAAAGCACCGTATGCCGTCAATACACCTCTGATGTTTTAGTATTTAGAAAGCTTCATAAGAGCGAAGCAGACAAAACGTGGACTGAGACCCTCCCACGGAATGCGCGCCGAACATGCTCTGTGCTAAAGCTAACACAGGTGAAGCACAGCGGCCCTGCAATGTTGCTTTCACTTTCAATTCACGGCTGATTGAGAAGAAGGAGTGTGGACTATTTATAAATGCTGACTAATGCCCGAAGAACGACTTCCCAAACCGGTCATACCCATTGGGAACTGCTAGTCAACAGTGCTAATGCTAACTGCTACACATTTAGGCGCCTACACTACTGCTGTTGCACCAAAACACTACTAAAACAAGGCAGGTAGAAGGACACGCTTTATATGGGATATACTGACAAACACACAAGTATTACAACTTACATTGGTTCTCTGCAAGTGATCACGTCCGTAAAACAATCAACCACAGACTCAAACTCCAGCACCCCACAGTGCAGTGCGACAAGTAACGTGACCACGTGACGTCAGCCACACACTTTTATAATTTTATTATTTATGTATTTATTGTTTATTCTCTTTTATACCGTATATGTGTTTATAAGAGGTTTCAATAAAAATATCCTAATATAAACATAATAATGCAATTATACCACAAGCAAAGTTACATGGGTACGAGCCTGGTCTTACCATACCATCGTACAAATTTCATGTAGCGAAATAATAATTGACCAGAGTTTACGGATGGCTTAGGCCAGGCTAATCAGTACATTTGCACTGATTTTTGCGGTTTTCTGGCTTCATGAGATTGTTAAAAACTCATGAACCCAGTGTTCTCAATCATAAACCTATTTTTTATGTTTTAATAAAAAATGAATCCATATCTGATTACTTAAACTTATTTAACAAAAAGCAACCAGAAGAACTCGGATATAAACAGGTATTTCTCTTCTAGCCACCTGCATGCGAAAGCCAGATCCTATCATACCTCTGAATCTAAGTTGAGTTGGTCGTGGTAACTACTGTAATGGGAGTCCTCTGGTAAACTTTTGGTGTGTCCTCAGGCAAGACACTTCACCCACATTGCCTTGTATGAGTTCCGGTGTGTGACTGATGGTGATCATACAGGCTGATGACATGCCTTGCTTCTGACAGTCTGCCCCAGAACAGCTGTGACTACAGTAGTAGCTTATATATGGAGTGAATTAAAAATGACATGTGAAGCGTCTTCGAGTGTCCAGGTGATACTGCTCACATTGTAAAGCCCTTCTGCAGCAGGTCCACTAGATGAAGACTGATGACACATGTTTATTATTAAAAACAATAATAATACCCCTCTTAGTGAAACTTGCAAGGGACAACATATTAAAATGAATGTGCATGAATATTCTGTTTGTCTTAAATTATGGTAAGATACTTGCAGTATCTCTTCCTATATTGTATCATAAAATACATTAAGCCTTCTGCTGCTGCTGCTACTTTTTAAGTTTTCTTTTGGCATTATTGTTCTGGGCCGTGTGTGTGATGAAATATTAAGAAAAAAATAAAAATCATTATATATAATTGTATTTTTGTATTATTATGTAATAGTAAACAAACACATCGCATCAATAATTAAAGTCTAGTAATTTATTTTGTATCCCTCTTCAAGTGCAGAGTTGTGCGCATAGTGACATTGCATCATATAACAGGGAAGTGACTAAACATACCACAGTTCTACTGTATTTACAGCTGAGACAAAATTGAGGAAGCCAGACTGCAAGTCAGTCCTGTGCCATCAGGCTCCACACTGATCTTCTTGACAATACCGTCCTCAACCAGCATAGCATATCTGAAAAAAGATTATTGTTTATTCATGTACACATACAAAATTATAAGAAATATGATGTATTATACAATATACCTCTTAGATCGGTTGTTCCCAAGAACCTGCACAATTTGATCACTGTCAAGTATCAAATCAACTTCCTAAAAACAAATTCAAAATGTTAAAGTGAAAGGAAAACACAGAAACACAAATAGGCATTACTAGTAGTTGTACTTTAGTAAATGCTCCAGTTGGGTCAGCCAGCATCCGGACCTGTGGTATGAATGCACAGCTATTAATCCCGCTACAGCCACTGATTTTGTTATGCACATTCATACAAATTAATACCTTGCCATCCGCTCCATGTTCCTTTCCCCAAGCAGCCATGACAAATGCATCATTCACTGAAACGCAAGCGATCTCTTGAATTCCTTTACCCTTCAAATCAGCTGCTTGCTGCACATAACCTGGTAGATGTGTCTGAAATCAGCACAATACTTTGATCAGATAAACACGAGATGTTCGGTAAACCATAGACGTCCCAAAAAAAATAGTAGTAATTTTAGTAAATCACCTTGGAGCATCCAGGTGTAAAAGCACCAGGTACTGCAAATAGAATGCCCTTCTTGCCTTTAAAAAGCTGGTCCATCGCCACTTTGTTTCCAGGCTCACCCTCATGGACCTCAACTGCTGGAAGGGGACTACCAACCTAGGAGAAGAGAAATTCAGCAAATCAACATAAAAAATCTAAAAGACAAAATAAAGTTCCCATTTTTAAAAGGTGCATGTTGCCACTTTCCTCTCACTTCCTTTGCAAAAGAAGCCAACCCCTTTTTCATATAGATAACAAGAGAGATGTTGTTATGTAGTAGTGAATATTGGTCTGTGAAACTTAGTGTTGGTTTGTTGAGTTGTTTAGATCATATGGGTATATATTCTGTATGTTTGATAACTAGATAATGACAATCCTTTTTACTGAAAGTTACTTAACTTGCTTGACTCCAATGTGAAAGGAAAATAAATGTAATACATAATACAAAACAAAGTGTAAACAGTGACTATGGCCCACCTTGGACGCTTGAGGGCGCCAGACAATAATTTAAAGGCATAGATCCAAGAAATGCATAGATTTTAAACGATTCCTAAATGTAAAAAAATAACATAATTAAACGATTATGGATTTATGTTATGGAGTATTTATGCTGGAGATAATAGTAAATAGTTAAACGTAGCTAAATTTATAAGAAGAGTTGCTTACTTCTTATCAATTTGCCATTAGAACGACACTAATCACAAAAAACATCACACAATTAAACCGCTAGAAGATGTTTGAACAGTAACACCACATTTTGAGGGGCTAATACCATGAATCTATTATAATAAGGCTAATACATAGACCTAGTTCTATGGCGTAATAATAAACTATGACGGTGACTTTCAGTGTTAAGACGCCACAGCTTATGCTACCATGTAAATTATCGAGTGCACACATGTCAACATTCTATAAACTTGCAGAAAACCCAGGTAAATATTAATCCTAGACGAAGTAAAGTTATGTCACAGCGAAATGCTACATGCCATGAGGACATCTGCTGAGCGCGTATTCACAAAGCTCCTGCAGAGATATTGCGTAAAGGGTCAAACAAACGCAGTGTTAATACTCCCTCAGCAGAACATACCTGAATGGGCATGTTGGATCTGGATGAGCTGTGCAGTGACCTCGCAAGATGGATGGTTCGTGTGCTTCTCAAGAGCTGCATAGAGAACATGGCAAATTTAATAGCACTACGCAGTTTCCCACTACCGGATTTACGCATGAACCGAGTCACGTGGTTGGAGGGTGCGCACCGTAGTGTCGTGCGCCTAGAGACAGACCCGGCAAGTCACAGGTGAAGTTAACCGGGTGACCTACATAGATACAGGGACGAATTAACCGAGCTGAGTCCAAAAAATATTTACTGTGGTTATTTATCTATGCAATCCCATGACTTGTTTGCAGTATGATTTGTGGTGCTTATTTTCTACTTTTGTAAATAACTTTGAATTGTTTTGTTTATGAAATGTTCTATATTTATTTTTAACAGTCTATGGTTCTATACAAATAAACTTGCCTCCAAAAAAATACTAACGGCGCCATCTGGTGGCAAAACGTAGTATGATCGACACGCCCAAATATTCATCTATATGTGTATTTGAATCAAACCTATTAAAGGAACTGCTTAAGCCAAGGTCTCCCCAAACCTATTCTTTGCATCAATCGTACAAGGACTCACTCATTCCCATGCACAATCATTATACATAGGATTATTGTGATGTGTCATTTTTTTTTATTAAAGCATGAAGCACCTCAAAATAACTCACTCTTTGTGACATAGTGATAGGGATCACTTTTCACAGTGAATTTAATAACATTTTCAGACAAAGACAAACAAAAAATCTCTACACCTATTACAACACATACACAGAAAACAGGTTCAACAAACTATAAATTGCGTAAAAAATAGAATTTAATCAATTAAATAGTCTTACAAAGTACAAACATTGATTTGAAGCACTACATAATATGTAGCTATTCTTTATCATAGCAAGCCATGTTTAATTTGCACTGTCGCTATACGAGAATATGAGGTTTGGTAAATTGTTGTATTGCTCATTTATGCACACATACTCAATGGACCCTACAAAATACTTGTTTTCCATAAAATGTCACCCCCCAACCAAACTCACATCTACCATACTTGTGAAGTGAACCAGAAATTGTAGATATTGAAAACAATACTAGACACAACACAGTGTTGGGGATGCTCCAAGTGGTTCCGAGTGATTGCAGAGCGTGTCGTACTTGAGCTACTGCCCATGATGATATAATAAAGAATGACTAAACATCAGTTAAATGTAGCACTGCAATAGTGCTGTGACTGTTAAAAGACAACTCACTAACTTTAGTTTCAGAGAAAATAATTCCTATGATCAAATACCTCAAGGGTGGGGCCCTAGGTGTTTGACCATCTGGCACTGTATTCTGAGGTAGCCCCGATCTCAGACATGACAATAATATTCAGCTAACACAACTCGCTCAAAAAAAAAAGACGTTTAAACCTTTCAAACAGACAGCTTGAACTTAGTATCAAATTCATAACAATTTAAATTGTAAAGTAAAAAGTAAGTTATCAAGTAAAAGTTTAGTTTAATACGCAACAAGAGTTGCATGAATATAGTACAATTAATGGGGACAACACCTGCTGGCTTGGTTCTTCCATGATAACTTGCATGTTTCTAAAAATGTAAATGGAATCGTGATGTTAATGACCGCTGGATACTACCTCTGATTACAGTATGTGTATCCTGCTGTTCATAACGGAGGGCTGCAGAAAGTTGCTCTCATATAAATAATGTGAACTATAAACTTCAAACAAAAGACATGAAAGGGAAGGATGAGATGACAATATTAACATTTCAAAGGGAAAGTATTAAATGTTTGTGTTAAACTCATTTTTGGGATGTTTGTTTAACCAATATAATGGGACAAAGGGATCACAAATGTAAATACACTTTTTGCTGAAGCAAATTAAGTAATAACTGGACATACCAACTTCACGTACTCAGTTTGGTAGTGGGATTTACAGAAACAACAGTGAATATATTACTATGGGTAGAACTCAAATGAATATTTAAACTCATATGCACATGAACAGGATCTCTTCCATTGCACAGTTTTATAAAGCATGTTGTACACTTTACTCTGGTTTCAAAGCCGTTACAGCTAAAAGGCTTATGCATCTATAAACCACCATTTCAAACCCAAACAATCAGCTTTCCGAGTCTTGAACAGATGTAAACTCTTGAAAATCTAGTCTTTAAGCCACATTTAAAATGTGACAAGAGATAAGTCAATATATTGCTTTAACTATATTGCAAGTATTTCCTATGGATTTGCCTAAAAAAGGCTCACTAATCTACAGTGAACACCAGCACTCAATGTGCATGCCAATCTGACCGTTTAGTGGGCTCTCTCTTACTTTAAAATGCTTTATTATGGCTTCTATGTTGATTTTGCATCATTACAATAAATCTTACAGCCATGATTGCAGTCTGTGGTTCCATCAGAACCTAAGAGGGCCACAATGTTGTGAACATAAAAAAATGTCTTGTGGGGTACCAACATCAGTTGCTATTGGCGATTTAGAGTCCACATTACAGAGACTATTTCACCAAAAGTAGCCAAAACAAAGTTTGTGAGCTACGACTATTATTTTAGCAGCTCCAAGGGGAATGTTCCACTGCGTTGATATTCCCCAATGCTACTTATTTTCCTCATCTTGAAATATTTCTTGATCTCACAGAGTAAGGTTCTCTGCTCTAAGGAGAGTCCATCATGGCTTCCAGCATTTCCAAGAATAGTTTGTGCATCGGTATCCCTCCTCGGGTCTTAATGCTGTAGAAGGTAGTGAGAGCACGACCTGCAGTTTGTCTTAATAGAGGCAAAGTTAAAAGAAGACGTCCAGCCCGCTGGGGGTCATCTGGGCGCCGCTGACATTCAAGCTCCAGCAGAGCTTGGTGGAGTAGGTCCCGCAGCTTCTGTACAGCTTCCATGTCCTCAATGTAAACAGAATCTGGGACAGAAACATAGGATTAAAGTTATTACATAATTAATACATTGTACCACATTTGCGCAGCTTTTACACAATTATCAATGGTACCTGAGTTGGTGAGAGCTAGGGCTTTTAACATAACAAACTCCTCCCGGTCCAAGTTGAGGGCACGGAAACGTCGGGATAGTTGACTAATTGCTGCATTTAGCTCTGTGAGTCCCGCAGCTCGTGACATCTCTTCATCAAGGACAAAGTCCTCCGCAAACACTACCTCATCCTCACAACCCAGGGAACGATACGCAACGCCCAAAACCAGCACCTCCAGCCAAACTGACTGCAGCACCGACATCTGGTCTGCGAGGGACAGTGACAGGAAGCCTGCAGGGGGCAGACAGATGGATCAAGAGTCATCTTAATGCACACCAGATCATTATGTTCATTTCTGTTAGCTGAGCATACAACTCAACATATGAAAGATATGTTTTTATGGGGTTATTCCAGTGTTTCATTGTGTAGGATTGATTTATTTATTAAAATGGGACAGTGCGTAATAAAGAACAGTAGTGTTGGAAACCAGATTGTAGCCTTGGGGTAATTTCCACCATCCATAGTCCCACTCACAAACACACACTCAGTGATCCTGAGCTGGTATATGTTTTTAGTGAAACCGGAAGAAACCTATCCAGACACAGTGAGAACATGCAAACTCCACACAGAAAGGTCCCCCCTGAAGGTGAACTCGACCCCACAACCTTCTTTCTGGGATGCACAAGTGCTTATCCATGGATTATGGATCTGTATGGGCTGTAGGTAGAAAAACTTTTTGAAAACATTGAGTCAAGAAAAGCAATAGTGATGAAATAGTGAAGTCTCATCTCAATAATTATTAACATTAGCTCGATTTCATATAAGCAAAAAACTGTAGAGCATGTTAAGCTTCCAGTCTGTCGATGTAGCCTGTGAGCAGATAGAAACAAGGCAAGAAAGGAGCATAAGAAAGGAGAGGAAAACTGATTGCTCTCTGAAAACTATAGGACAACTTTCAATTGTTGTTTGGTATTAAGTATCCACCTGCTGATGATGATGATGTGTTGCTGCTGGAGCCACAGACTTATTGTGTAATTCACTTAAAACTGAGTAATCTTTTAAAATTTGGGATGGACAGTGGTCTATGGTAGAAAGCATAGCGAGGACCAGGGTTTTTGTTTATGGAACGAACATAAGGATGACAGTTTGAATATTCATTTTGGCTCATGATCAATACAGATATACTAATCCTATTGTACACTGAATGATCAAATAGACTGCCTATGGACATATGTTATAAACAGGCTCATTTGAAAGGGGTGGAAGACAAGCTAAATCAGAGAGACGCATGAGTTGTTTTGGGTTTGTAAATCAGTATTCTTGGCACCGAGAAGCACACATTTGTCAAAAAAAATTCCCGTGTGAGGTGATCATATAAATAATGAACCATTTGAAGTTTGCTAGTTCTGCCCAAGTCGGGAGATTTGATTAGAAAGGGAGCAAATGCAACTAACCCGCAGTTCTTTGACCCAGTACATAGGCTTATCAAACTATACAAGTATACATGTTTCAGTATACTTGCACATACATCTGAAAAACACTTTAATTTATCTTCTTACCAGGAATGTGTTTGGCCCAACCAATAATGACAACCAGTTCTCTGTCAGCCAGGTCACAGAGAGTGGTTAGTGTACGCTGAGCTGTGTCAGGTTGCAGAGGATCTGGCATCGCAAATAATTTTTCTGGTTCTGCCACGAGCAGATGGGACACAATGATGTTGGAGGAACCTAGGCAAAAGGAACCGTACAAAAATTATATTATTTTGCTGTAATTCCCAAAAAAACCTATCTAAATTATCAAAATCAGTGTTCCCCAACCTTTTTGAGTTGTGGTACACCTTTGTCATTGCGAACAATCACATGGCACACCACCAGCTGAAACTGATACTAAATTTAAACTCTACAGCCTTTATCAACAAAGCAAAGTCATTCTCACCCATGTGTATTATATAGAAAATCAAATAAGCAAAAAAAAAGTCTTTCAAATCATCTCATAATATTTTCTTTTCACATGATTTTGACTAAGCCGGTGAAATTGGATCATTTTTGAGGCACACTAATAAACATCTCAAGGCACAGCAACACTGGTTGAAAAACACTGATGTAAATAATTACACCAGAAGTCATAGAAAATACGCTATAACTTCAGGAAAGCCAAAGCCTAACCCTTTTCACTCTCCTTTGAGAGGGGTAAGGGGGTATTCTGGTAAGAAGCATTTTCCACATCTGGTCGTCTTTTATATTTCTGTCTTCCACCCCTCACTCGATCAAGGCGTACTCCTGGATCACAAAACATAATCAATAAGCATTCCAGAGAATGAAGAGCATTTAAAAAATCCAAAAATGAAATTAGTGATGGTAAACCTTTTAGTGCATGCTATAGGCACTCACCCTCTTTTAACATGCCTACTTTGAGGCACTTGGTGAAGCGACATGCCTGACACGCCTTTCTACGTCTTTTGGTGATTTCACACTCATTTGAGGCAGGACAACTGTACTCGATGTTACCTAAACGTGGGAAAAGGAAACATGAAAAACAAGGTTGAGAGAAGCTTGATATAATTACACCTACAAAAGATGTTGATATAGTATATGGTAATGGCGGAACTGCAGCCAATCAGAGACATTTCCCTCTGACCACCATCTCTACCTCACTGAAGGGATGAAATGAGTATACCCATCAGTAGACAAAAACAAAAGATATTTAACAAAAAGTACTCACAGCTATCCAGATATTTATCATAGCAACTACTTCGAGGCAAAAAAGTCTCCATCCAAGAATAATTTTATAAAAGGCATACATGGACTTGTGTCTTGATTATTGATATTGATTGTGGCATACAAGACGTGGCATACAAGACCTGGCATTTATAACCAAAAGCCACAGCTTCCTGCTTTCAAGACACTTTTCAAGAAACTGCTGCTAATGTCCAATGAGACAGACTGTATTGATTGTTGATGTGAAGGTAAATCTTACTACCGGATATTAGTGATAGGGTAATGGAGCCTTGAAGCATTGAGACTTTTCTTACAAATGTATCGCAACTGTTTTGAAGCGTCAAAAGCGCAACGTACTCTGAACCAAAGCAAAGCAGCAGCTGCACAGACCGATACACCGTCACTCTGGTTATACCTGTTGTAGTCCCATATCTAACAGTTTGGCTTAACCCAGAGTAAACACACATAAACGGAAAGAAACATGCAAAGTCTGAATAGAAAGAGCTGTTGTAGCCCAGGGATTTAATTTACTACCTTAAATAAAAAATAAATAAAAACTTTGATGTGTGGAAAAGGATACTACAAGATCCCAAACTGACCTTGGATAGTTCTTTTGAAGAAGGCTTTGCAGGCTTCACATGAGGCCACACCATAGTGGTAACCAGAGGCCACATCACCACAAACTAAGCACAGTCGTTTGGGCAGTGTGCTCAGGGCATACTTGCAGCGGCCTGCCCCATTTCCAGTGGAACCTTCTTCTGCTACATCACCACCTTCGTCTTTAAAGTGACAATGCAAAGCCGGCGTGTAGAGTGGAGAGTAACGCTTAGCACCGTCTCCTCTGGTTCCTCCACCTCCACTTTGTGATGAGTCCGAGGAGGCTCCACCAGGACTGATGCGCCCTCCTCCACCTCCCTCTGGACTGCTCGGCTCTGCCTTTATGTACACATCAGGTCGGCGCTCTCTGGAAGACATGATACCTGATGGGGGAAAAAATACTTCAGTGAGTAAAAATATGACTATGAGTACAAACCTTTGTGATATAGCGAGACTTTCATGTCACTAATGATTACGTGTACGTGATTACAATTACGTGAAACAATTTATGGTCAATGATGTTCACCTTTAGTAGCCATATAAAGGATTTCACTCACTAGGGCATGCAAACTTGTACCCCAACTTTTATTGGTGGTACAAATCCTAATTTATGATTCAAAAAGACCGCTACAGCTGTTTGACAAAATGGCTTCGTCCAACTACAAAGTTTGAGTGGTATCCTCTATATTCTCTCAAAAATATAATTCTGTCAGGGTATATTCCACAATACTGTGTTTTAAATAAGTCCAACTGACTCTAGTAGAGAATTTCAAAACTGAAATGGTCAGATTCATGACAAACCAACACATGATTATTGGGGTACAGAGCAACAGCAATATATACCATACGCAATACAGCCAAGTTGATAATACTAATGATAAATCAGTTTTATATAGCGCTTTTTGGACACTCAGAGATGCTTCACATGTCATTCTTTAACTCCATACATGGTGGGGATAACCACTATTGTAGCCACAGCTGTGCTGCTCTGGGGCACACTGACAGAAGAGAGCCAACCAGTATGTGCCATCGGCCCCTCCGACCACCACCGTCACACACACACACACACACACACACACACAAGACTCATTCTAGGCAACGAGTTTGCTATTGCTCAACGGGTTGTATGATTTAAAAAAAACTTGTGTAATTCATGTTTTAATATAAACGTATATAAATTGATAAGAACATCGGTACACCTCCGTTTGCAGATACAGGTGAAGGTGGGTAAGGGTCGTGGTTTTCAGACTCATCTTAGTTATAACGAACTTACACACACCTCAACATGCTGAATAGACAAAGCATCAAAGTCAAGAAGTTTGTGAAGGTAGAATAAATGATCGGCCCATGTGCCGCAGGTTTAGCGATCACCACTGAAGCCAACACGAGGACAGAGAATACGAGCAAACAGGCACGGATTTCATTTCAATGACTTTTAACACAGGATAACAATTACTGTTATCTCAGCCCATCTCCGAACACTCGCTCTTTGTTATTATAGAGGCACGTTCACAGTGTATTGTAAGTAACATGAAAAGAAAAGGATTAGTGGGTTAGCATCACTAGCTAGCACTGGTTAGCTTTTGTTAGCCTGCTCATGCTAATGTGTGTGAACTGAAGCAGAACTCCAAGAAACGCCGCAACTTTACGTATAACTTTAACCCTCTTGAACACAATACTTCATATCTTACCGTACACCGACAGTGTCAGAGGTTTGCCCGCAGCCTTAGTTTCATTGTTGAGACTGTTTTGGAGCCTAGCCTGGTCAGTCGTGTGGTTGTGTTGTGATCACACACAGGCTGAGTGCAGTATGCTTGTGATGGGCAGGGACTGCTTTCACCAAACAGCTGGGACCCTCACCCGTACACTGTTTACAGACAACAGCACTTTTAGCTGGTTTTCACACCCCACACAAACCCTGACTTTATGTTGGACCAAGACAGGTAGTTTTAAGTGTAATCATTGAAGCTGGGGCACCATGGATTTTTTTTCAATATAAATAACGCATGTTGTTTGTTCCAACAGAAAGAGGCTCATTGAAGTAAGTGAAGAAATCTGATCACAACATGTTGTTTTCTAATGCCTTTATTATTAGAAAACATCCATCCATCCATTTTCTTCCCCTTAATCCATTTCTGGGTCAGGGGGTGGCAGTCAGAGCTGCACCCAGTCACAGAGCACCAGCCCCTCACTGATCCTCCTGCAGGTGGTGAGTCCACAGGAGCTGAGATCTTTCAGTGGGGGCTTCAGGCAAAGTGGGGTTAAGTGTCTTGCCCAAGGACACAACGACAGCAGTCATCAGTGGGAGTCGTGAAGTAGGTCTTGAGGTGGGCTCGAACCCACGACCTTCAGGCTCAAAGGCCAATGCTCTACCAACTGAGCTACTGTCGCCCCTATTAGAAAACATACTTGTTGCATACTTAGAAAAGAAAAGGCTATGACTCACTACCTGACGTGGGGCTAAAAGAGAGGGTGATCCTCTCATTTTTCTGTCTGAAAAAGCTGATTTAAAATGAGACAAAGGCCAGAATATGCATGCATTGTATTTATGGAAACTGATTCAAGTGCAAGAAAATATTGAGCTAGATTTTATAACATAATATAAATGTAAAATGTTTTGTGATGTCAAAGTCAATCCCAGATGTAAACTATTCACGACCAAATTCAATGAATAGAACTGGAGAGACATGGTTTACTTTACTCTGACTAATATAGATGATTTATTACCACTTAGCCTCCTTCAAAGTCATCCCTTATTTAGTTTTCAGTAAATGTGTCTGTTCTTCAGATGATCTGGAAATCCAAGGTGACCGTTTCCAGGCACAGCGCTCCTCTGTAGAAGGTTATCAACCTCTGCACAATGGTAAGCATATTAATCAACTGAAGCAGTCTGGACTTAAACGTGTTCCAATAATAAGAAAGATATGTATCCGTTTAACGATTGGTTGCTAACTAAGATGTAGTGAGAAGACAGTGTATACCTGGGCCATGTTGGACGTGGATTAATTGGTTTCAAATCTGTGTGCTGTGTGCAATGTGATTACAAATAAATACTACTTATCTGCTGTGCACCGACCTGTAGTAGGAAGTTGATAACAGCTTTGTCCAAAGATTTTCTTGTCAAATGCTATAATTTTTGAGAAACATCTGGAAAAAAACAAACAGTGAAATAAAGTCAATAAGTGATAGCCTAGATATACATAGTCTATTTCACAATAGCAATTATTCTTTCTCTCACACACACACACACAAACATCATAAATGTATACAATTACACTCTGCTTGTAAGCCAACGTCCATACTTTTTAAAGAGTACTAAAGAAACCACTCTTACAGTTCAGAATGCAGTTCTTCCAACACCTAACAAAATCTATGTGTACATATTTTGTACAAGTCCTAGTCCCTCCCTCTAACATGCACCACACACTCCAAAGGTCACAGCCAGAGGAATGCTGAAGGACAGTCGGAGTGAAGCCAACACCTTGTCCCTCACTCATACTGCCTTGTCTAGGTTGAACTTTAGTAATAACCCTGTAAATAATTAAGTGCCTTGGGTACTTCTTTTTAGAGGCAACCCAACTTTGGTCTCTTCAGAGTGATTCTTTCAAAACAAGATCAAGTAGCCTATGATACAGATCAATGGAATAGTTGGAAAGGTTTATAAATGTCGGCCACATGTATGTGGCTCAAAATAACAATTTGAATCCTTAACATTAACTGCCCTTTTAAGGTACAGAAACGTTTACCTTTCCCAAAGCATTCACAGGCTGAGGGAGCCAGGTCTTTACATCAGAACAACATCACCCACAGGCAAAATATCAAAAGTAAGAATCAAGATTTTACATGCAGCACACAGAAGACAAGAAGAACAGCACCCAAGGGTGACCTTGTCTACTGATCTCAGACCGGTGAAAGGTTAATTGCCAAAGTGGATTATAGCTTGGCTATTATACCTTAAGATCAGCAGTCTCAATCCTGCCCCTGAAGCCTTTGCAACTATGAAATACCTGTATTTTAGCAGAAAAATAATTATGTTAATAATAAAAACATAATGCTGCAGCCAAAAGTGACCGTATTAAATTGAATTGTAAGTGCAATAATAATAATATGAATAATTAGGTCAAATAAGCAGATCATCTGAACCCTTTGTGGATTCTCTTGCCCAAATGTGACTAAATTAAGTATCTGTCCGAGCCCAAGACAATGTGACACTGATTTATATTGGCTTTTGTGTTGTGTCAGCAGCTATTGCAGCTTTTAGCCTAATTATAATATTTCTCACACCATATATAGTATTCTGCGTTTGCTCCAGTGTATACGCGCGTTCATCCTATAGCTTCTTTTCTCTTGACACAAAGATAATCTCGATAATTGTTTCGCAGTCATTTGCACGATATTGCCTTATCAGTATGTCTGGTGATGCTATACTTACTGGTGCACGCAGAAACATCGCAGTGTCGCCTGAAACCCGAGCGCAGTGCACAGTCTGGTTAAGCAGTCGGAGGCCACCGCGGCAGCATCGCAGAGAGCCCAGCTTTATGTCGTCCTAAAGCTGCAGAGTCTGACCCGTCCCCCGCTGTCGTTATCCGTCTGTTCCGATCCGTACAGCGGCGTTCTAAATTATCTCCTGCTACCAACACTGACGAGGTAGTCTCCGAGCTCCTCCTTTACCGAAGCTGCTTATCACATTTGTTTCCGGTGGGCTCTCCATAATAAAAGTATAGATCGAGAACAAGACGCGCACATACCGTGGATTAGCAATATACAGTCTCACAAGTGATTACTAATACATGTGATTTACTTTATCCACGTCCTCAATAGTCACGGTTTACGTTTCAACATACCAATGTAAAATACCATGAATACCAAATAATTTATAATTACAATATTCAGACATATTCCGGTCGTCGCTTGTCCATTTCATTGGACTTAACTTTTGATGACGTAGAGTTGTGTCCCTACCCACTTTACAATTTGCGTATTTCTGTTACGTTTGTGCGCTCATTCCATGGCGTCACCAAGTCACCCGCGTGTCCCCGTCATAGACTGTATATATCCTCATGTCCTACAGTAGGAAACCCGTAACTGCATCACAAGCCCCTGTGTGTACACTACAGAGTTACTGTTGTTCTTTAAAGTAAGTGTCGGCACTTGGAAAAGGTGTTTTAGCTACTTTAGTATTTTGCCTTGAACTTTGTTTAATCTCATCAAGTGGGTCCAGTTCACTCCTGTGGAAAGCAGTCATGCTGCTGGTCTTGTGACGCTCACCCGTCTGTCACTCACCCACTACTCCACTTGGACAGGAGCCAAAACAGGGGCCATCAACCAGATCGACGCGATAGAGTCTGGCTCTGTTGTGTAGCCCTTTACCCCATTGTTTTTGTATCTTTGGTCTTCTGACAATAAGGTGTAACCAAATACTGCCTAATGTTGCCTCACTCTTAAATCCTAAAATAGTCCTGCTGGTCTATAACTTGCCCAGAAACAGCTGGCACAAACTGAAGGCGGGTTTGTCCAGTGAATTTTAGACGAACATGAAACATTTCTGAGCAGGATTAATCTATGAAGTGGTCATTACATTACCTGCTAGTATGAGAAGCGCAGAACACACTGTGATACCAGTGACAAGCAGTCACATGCAGACCACTGTGCAGGCGCGTAGTGCGAGCACAGAGGAAAATCTGACAGCAGTGTCACTACGACCTTGAAGCAAGGTCATCGAGTCTGCTGCAGACACTGCAATTCTGCGGATCGACATCATAATGGTGCAGCAGGCCTACACTCAAACGCATATGACAGACACGAGAAAACATCAATATATAGTTTTTTGAATGCAGTAATTGTATTAATTTGTCGTGGAACTGCATCATATCAGCAGTGCGTGTTTAGAGACAGGGGATTACAACAGAAGCAGAGACAGGCGGCTTATGCAGACACCGGCTTGGGACCCCAGGGTGTTTCTTACAACAGGTCGTGACCTTGGACAGGTGTCAGCTCAAACATCATGGAGTCACTGGTCACAGTATTGACAGTTTCATCAACGAGTCATGGCCACAGCTCAAATGAAAGCCACTCTCCACTAATAATAAACACAGGATATAGGAAATGGGGACCTTAAATTATATTCGTCCTTAGAAACGCGCCATAAGAGGTCCTTATGATCCTACTCATTATCATCATCACGTGACTATTGTATTGGCTTCTTCTGCTGCAATAGTGAAGTTGAATTATTTGTGGCGTGTACTTATTGAATATTGATTAGGCAAAGCCTACTTTAGTAGCATTTTGCTGATGGACTACCAGTGTCTTTTTGAACCTCATTGAATTTTCCCTGAAAATAAGGTCAAACTATACTTCGCCCCCTCGTGGAATGAATCGCTCATTTCAGCCGATGACGTCATAGCTGCGCTTGTCCCCAGCTCCGTAAAGGTCAAACGCTGCCACAGCTCATCTCTGCTGCCTGCTTACTTCCATTGCTCAAGACAAGGCCGGTGGCTTTTCTTCGTTCATATCTAAGTGTCACATTTCCAAAGGGAAACATTCAGGCAACCTCTTAAAACATGTTGGACCTGCTTGCACTTTTTTAGGGATCTTTTGTGCCATTAGGTCTGTAACATAAATAAAATATCACCTGTCATTATACGTTCCAGCCATCACAGTCAGGTTGAGAGTCGTTATTAGAATGAGGTGCAAGTTTGTCACAGTATGGTTCATCCCATGTTTTAGTACGCCCCCGTGTGGTTATATGAAGACAAAGTTTCTTCATATTTACAGTTTCTGATCGCTCCAGATGATCTTAAGTATAGTTGAAAATGTCTTTAACAAGGCTTGACACATTTTCAGTTTTAATTTTAGATTAAAACAATTTGTTGGCCAATACCTAGGCTTAATAACAATAATAAAATATCCAATTTTGCATTAGAGGTCATCATATTTTTTATTAATGAGGGTTGCAGCTAAAAAAAGAAAAAAGCACCTATTGACCATTCACATGGTTTTTCAGTCTTGCAAAGTCATTAGTGATATTGGATACAAACAAAACACTGGTTCCACTTCTGTCATGTCCTTGATCCCATTTTCAGATTAAAGCAGATTGAGTTTCCTGAGGAGTATCATTTACAAATCAGCTGGCCTACACACTAAAGGCCATCCATGCATCCTGAAGGACAATTGAACAACTCCTTCTTCTCCACTCTGTGGTTTACAGCTATCAATTCTGAACAGATAAGGCAACATCAATATTGGTCTTTAGAATAGCTGAAATATTGAAACATTTAGTTATAAAAAGTCCATCTATAAAACTCGTATGTAAAAACTTAATAGCACTGTTGATAAATCACTATTATATCTATAACACTCTTAAATCCACTCCTATTTGTATTTCAGTTTTTACTGGATAACAGTCACCAAGAGGCTGGTCAATCTCAATTTACGTGAGAGATATTGCCTGTTATTCGGACAAACACACAAGTAACTTTAGAGTCTGTTGAAATGGTTTTATTTCATATGCAGTAATTATGTGAAAAGTGATACATTATCCCTCCAAAATGCACATGTATTTAACATTATAAAAAAGTTTGAGAGAAAAGTTACAGCAGTACCCGTTTGTTTGAGGTTGGTACAGTTTTTATAATTTCCTTTTTGGTGAAATGTGGAACATTTTGACCTGGAATTTTGTCCGAGTAGATTTTGCATAATATGAACAACTTAGTGCATTTTCAATAAGGCCCAGCAGAGAGCAGTCACGCTCCATTTCCTTCAGGCATCCATAGCTTCTTTATTATATTTGGTTGAGGCATACACACCACATGCTAAGAGCTTCAAATGCAAGTGTCTACCAGTGAGACAGAAATGAATAGCAATGCTGTAAATGTATATTTTTCAATACATCACATGTTATTCTCTTGATACTTGTGCTAATGGAGGTCAACTGCAGGGATTTATTCTTAAGGCTTTGATGGTGGATCTGAAACTGGCTTTGCGTTTCCATTGGGTTCTTTAATCTCAGGGATGGAGGTGTTGTTATTGTTATGAGCACTTCTGTGTGGAGCATGCCTCCTATGGCGTCTTCTCCTTGGGTGTCGGGGACGAACACCATTGGGTTGTGCTGGATCTATATAAGGATCCAAGTGTAGTTTTCCACTCTGAGCATCTGAGGATTCGTCAATAAAAGCCAGGTTCTCCCCAAAGTAGTCAAGTGGCTGAGACAGGTTGATCAGCTCAGCAGGGGGTTTTGTGGGCTTTTCTTCAGGCACTTGGTCTGTTTGCGTAGTCTGGGAGCCTGACTCTGAGCCTGATTCCGAGTCCTCATCAGAACCGGAAGATGAAGTGTATGATTCAGACTCTGATTGACTCTCCTCCTGTCCTTCTTGGTTCCCGTTCTGGTCACCTGTTCCTGACACGTCGCGACCCTGGCTACGGTGGCCTCGGCCTCCATGATGACGCTTTCGCCTGCGGCGCTTGAATGGATCGTCTATCTTTCCAGGAATCTTAAAGTCCACCGACATGTTCTGGATGTTTTGTGTCCAATCAGAGGCATGGGCCCGAAGCTCCTCCATCTAACAATAGGGACAAAACATGTAGAGGCTGAAAGCAGACACAGGGGAAAAACATTGTCAAGGGGAGTGGACAATTCTAAAGAATACCTCAGCCCGGGTTTTCTTTGACAGCACTCTGATCCAGTTACCAATCATAGCCAGGATAGATACAAAGTAAGCAAGGCCCAGGAGGATCCAAAACCAGACCAGTGGCTTGTACCAGTGGTCACTACCGGCATATCCAGAGTCACCTGTGTGAAGAGGAGACACATGTCCAGAGTAGGTTTCACAAAATAGACAATAGAAAAAGTCTATTAATGTTTTATGATGTACCATTATAGTCTTTGTATCTTTTATCCTGTTTGTCCTATATTCACTGCTGAATTGAAACTTACATTACATTACATTACCTGCAACATAGTCACCAAAGCCGACCGTTGTAAGTGTGATAACTACAAAGTATGCTGACTCAAGCATAGACCATCCTTCCACTTCTTGGAAAACCAGGATTGGCACCGCCACAAAGAGTAGACATCCCAGCAGAATGGACAAAACGGCAGATATGATTCTTACAATAGTGGCGCTCACACGGAATTTCTAGTGTGAAACATGATTGCAAAATTACTGAAGCACATGATACAATGTATGAACACAAACAAGAAGACTGTGGACTGACCAAGAAGATTGTCTCAATTTTAAGCACAGCTTTCCTCAGGCCAGTTCCCAGATGGTCCCCAACTCCAGCGAGCAGGAAACCGAACAGAGGGATTCCCACCAAGGCATAGAAAATACAGAACAGCTGGCCTCCATAGGTTTTAGGGGATATGTTTCCAAACCCTAATAGTACATTTAAAGCTACATAAATGACATGCTAATCATTTGTAGCCCAACTGGATGTATTACTCTAATACTCACCAATAGTAGTGATAATTGTTCCACAGAAAAAGAAGGCACTGGCGAGATCCCACTGACTCACAAAAGATGAATTACTACCGGCTTGCACTCCAGCACCAATGGCCTCTACCACTTCCTGCAATGATAAATAGTGAAAAATCCTGAGTTCAGCCCAGCAGTAATACAGTATTACAGGTGGGGGCGACAGTGGCTCAACAGAAAATGCGCATTGGCCTTTAGGCTAAAGGTCCTGGGTTTGAACCCTCCACAAGACCTACTTTACGACTCCCACTGATGTACTGGGTGCAGCTCTGACAGATTATCGGGAAGAAAATGGATGGATGGATGTAGTATAACTGGATAATTGGTCCAACAAAAGAAATAAACAAACCAGTCATTACAAAAAAAACATCTTCATGTTGGCTACAGCTATAAGTACTATTTTAGTCAGGGGCATGCTTTTCAGGGTCTTTTGTATCTTCAAAATGAAGATGATGACTGTTTTCCCCATTAGAAAATGTAATCTGTATCATTCCAGCATTCTCAGTCTTCCACCACTGCCTTTATTTTACACGAAGTCAGAAAATGTAATTTTGACATAAATGAAAGTTATTTCTTTTCCAACAAGATCATCATTCTTAGTCATACCTCAAGTTATTTTCAATTATTATTTGTTTTCAAATATTGCATAGTGATTGCCCATGTGGTGTGGACTGCAGTCTTCTATTGTTAATAAATAGACATCATTAAGTGAACAGCCCATCCCAGAAAAGCATGCCCTATTGTGGTCTGTAACGTTGACATGTGATGATAGCTGTGGACAGTTTGTCTGGGACAACAAAGACATGTTGACTTTGATGCACTGAAACTTGATGCGTATGTCCGTCTGTTGGAGAGAATGTAAACCTTTAATAGTATCCAAAGAATGGCTTTTCATCAGCTGTTTGGATCTAGCACATTATGGGATTTATGTTTACACCATGGGGATACTTGATTCAGTAGTTCAGGCATACCATGTAGCAGTCAATGAGATTTAATGTTATGCATTTTCACTTAACCCATATGGAAGAGATCTGATCTGTGTAAGCTTCTCACAACATGCCAAAATAGACATTTACAATCTACATATTGGACGGGAGATAAACATTCAGAAAGCACAGTTGCCAAGAGAGCAACAAACACTTGTGAGTGTGTATCAACTTTCAAGTTATTTCACCTACGGACCAGGGCTATCCTGTCTGCACCTGTCTTATACTGGCCCAGGACCTACTGTGTCCTTCAGTTCAAAAAAATGGACCAAAGGTCTCCAAGGAGGCTTTAATCAAAATAGTATTCTCAGGTGCTTTTACACTTGTTGGTCTGATTATGGTTCACTTGGGGAAAAAAGATTTATTTGTGGATTACACCCACAAAAAATACAAATTGTAATAATCCATCTACAGATACCGGACAGAGTTGTCCCCTGTAGCCTGGACTAGCCTTGAAGAATGGCCTGCAATTTGTTTTTGAAAGTAGTTCAAATGGGGTCAGGAAATCCACACCATGATCTTTAATAAGGTTTATGGCCCCTTACTTTTTAGGTGCAGTCAGGAATACTATACATATATACTATGAATACTAATACAAAAGAGTCATTGCAGATTAAATGGTATTACTGTAAATGATGATGCACTGAAGTCCCCATTTTAACTTTCATTCACTGTCTGTCCTGAACTGTATCATGGCGCTCAACAGCACCTGTAGTCCCTCTATCAAACTCTTGTGGTGAAGAGGGAGCAGCAGTTTTGAGTAGTTTCGACCACTTAGGATGAGGAACTCAGTGTAGAGCCACTGTTCCTCCACATTGAGAGGATCTAGTCGAGGTGGCTTGGAACACATGTTCCTTGCATGTCTCTGAGTGCCAATACAAAAATTTGCAAAAAATGTTGAACACTGATTGCTTAAAGGTATTTAGGGAGATGTTTGTATTTTTATGCTCTGGCTTTTAACACCAGTTGTATGGTCCTTTTATTTTCATTGTATTTCATATTTTTATTTTTATTTTTATATTCATACATATTTGCACACACGGTTTTTCATATTTGATTTTGTATTTTACTGTTTTACTAAGTTTTTAATTTTATTGTGCAGCACTTTGGAAACTGTGTTTATGAAATGTGCTATATAAATAAAGTGGATTGGATTGGATTGGATTGTACAAATTAGAAATGCAATGAGTACACCAATGTAGGGTTAGGGTATTGTACCTCACAACCTCACTGTCAATCATTGTGCTCAGCACTGTCAATCATGCTAGTACACTTTGGCTGCACATGCGCTGTGGATTGCCAAGTCTGTTTATGTAGCGGCTAACGTTGGTTCTTTGTGATTTTTGTTGAAATTGGAAGGGCAGCAAAAGTGAAAAATAGGTTGGGAGATCAATAACTAGGGACCCTCACGTAGGAATGGGTGAGGAATTGTTCTCGTCCCAGATGATTAGAGCCATCCTTTGCCAGCTCATGGCACTCAGTTCTTGCAATGCATTTCAGGTTTGTTGAAGTTTCTCAAAGCCCTTCCCTGAATTCACTATTCATTCACCCCACACTCGGGGTGATGGAACTGCACCATTGGCCAAACCAAAATACCAATCCAAATACCACCATCATTCACAAATGTACTCTATTTATTCAGAACCTAACTTTTGTATTTTAAGTTTTACATGTTGTTTGTCCCAACAAAAAGAGGGGGAAAAAAAAAAAAAAAGTTTGGGTTTGATAAATGGTATCCAAAGAAGGCAAAAATACTTTTTTGTTTTGTTTTTGTTTTTTGGGATTTTAAAGTTAGGTACGCAAGCGTTCAATCAAAAACTAAATTCAGAACTCTTCATTTAATATTTTACCAATAACAGTTTTTCCGACCCAATCAAACAGTAATATGAGATTGCATTCCCTGCTATATAAAACAATTGTTAGTGACGCCTCCTGTACCTCTATGAACTCTTGCAGGTCCTCATATTCCACACAGGTGAAGTTCAGCAGGAAGTCACGACGGACCCTCTGAAGCTGGTTGTGCTTTCCCTCCTCACGCGGAGCCTCCAGAGCCCGAAACACCACCGCCCCCATCACCAGGTACATTAGTACCCCGGTCAGGATGCCCAAGAGGGTGGAGCAACGCATTGTGGTCCGTCCGCCCAGTCCAAAGCTACGCTGCTCTTTCACTCTTCCAGCCTCCGCACATGGGATGGGGTTTTGCTCCCAGCTGCTATGACATCAACATTAGTTAGTGGAAATAACAGTACAGTCTTCTCGCTGCACACAAGGCACTAAATGGACACTGGTCTCACCACAGTGCTGACACGGACTAAATGCAGCTTCTCAATAAACAGCCATAGTCACTTTACACTTCTGGCAGGCTAGACCGGGCAGTGCAATAGCTTTCTTAAAGATGTCTCACTTGTTACTCAGTTGTCCTCGCCGTCGTCTTTTCCAGTCCTTCTTCTTCTCCTCGGGTTTGAGAATAGAGTCTTTGGATCCGTAACCACTGGGCACTGCATCCGCCTCGCACTCTGACAGAGGGGACACTGGACAAATGGTACACAGCAAACAAATGCATTGAGAATGAATGCAATGAGGTTCGTAAGGTAGACACTGTTTGGACAAGAGCTCGAATAGATAGTTGATATAGTCATTGGGATTGTGTTTTATAGAGGTCAGATGTTCGTGCCAACAACCTGTGATGGTCATTCCAGTGTTTACAATCGAAGTAAAAATAGTGAATTGGCAAAGACATATCTACATCAGCGATTCAAGACCAGAGAACCACAGAGCCCCATACCAATCGAAATATACTGTGGCCCCCCCAATTGCTCTTATAGAATATTCAGGGGTTTTCCTTGATAATTTAGATATATTTACAGACAAGAAGTTCTAAAAGATAGTAATTGTGCATCAAGAAATGTGCTTTAAATCTTAATAGATGGTTGTGTGGACAACGTTTGGTGGTGCACTTAAGTACCATACATTTGGAAGCACTCGTCTATACTGTATAATGATTTCCAGGAGAATTAGGCAATATTTGCTCGTAATATTGGTGATAAACATGATTTTTAATAATAATATGAATAAGGACATGCCAATATATAAGTCATATAAGGTCTATACTTTATATAAGGTACAGTAGATGTTAGTTTTCACCTACCTCTTTTCCTCACCCACTGCTCAGTACTTACTTCTGATCATTTACACAATCAGACTCATTGTCAAACCTAAGTTCCAAAAACATGTAAAGGAAAACCGGATTCTTCCTGAAGTTATATGCCGCTTGAATAGGTGGGGTCTATTTGTTTGGCAGGGTCTCTATCCTTTAATAATCCTCAACAAGTACATTTTCACTATGCAATGAAATTGTATTTATTTTTGTCACCACAGTAAAGCCTCACGATGGATAACTAATTTATCATGTGCATTTAGTAAAACAAGATCTCCCTAGAATGAAAGTGTGTTTGTCAACACACTTCCCGAAAGTATTTTTCACTTGGCAAATCATTTGGTGTGTGTCCAAAATCACAGCCATAAATGCCACAATCTGATTAAGACAATATACACATCCAGTTTTACAGCTTAAAAAAAAACAGACAACCCCATTACTAAATGAGTGTTTGTGGTTGAGCCAAACAAACTAAAGCATGAGTGATGTCCTGTTTTGAACTTTTTTGAACACATTTAGTAAAGTAAGTAAGCAGTGGTATATAGTAAGACACAGCATAGCAGTGTTTAGAAAATGAGATGTGGGCATTCTGTGAAGCATTGAACGAATAAAAAGCTATTGAACAAAACCACACGACTCGATCCGGACTGATCAAGTATTCATGCGTTTATTTTATTGTATCAGACCTCTGTCACACACAGTCTAGACAGCTTATTCAGCACTGGGCAATTAGAAGTGTAATGGAGCATCCACTAAGCCCGCCGCTACGTCCATGTAGCCACAGCCATAGTATCTGCCCAATCCATTTTATCACTACTTAAACTCCCTCAAGATACATAAGTCGCATGCTCTGCCGGTGCCTTGGCATGTCCATGCGAGATGCGCTTACCTCAAATCACATCGGCAGCATGGGACAGCACCTCATGCCTCGTGGACTGCATCCCGGTAGTGTGAGGGTGTGTATGACAGAGACTGTTGCTGAGTGCACAGGAGCGAATAGGACTCTCAATCAAACTGACTTTTAATAGAGTCCTGTGAACGCCGAGGAGGCAAGCTGCACATTCACCGTTTGGTTTTTGAAGTGTTAAGTACCAATTCATTTGCAGGTTTTGTTTTTTGTTGCAATCCTGTGGGGTTAGCGCCAACATACGGCATACATATGTTTTGAAATTAGTTTTTGATTAGTCACAGTTGCTTATTCTTAATATTGTAGATTTTGAATTTGTGATTTGAATGAAGTACTCTTGATAACATCTCACTCATTATTGCAGAGTAAACCAAAATAAATAGGTAATAATAATCTAAAAAAACAATACTTCACAGGTTTGTATTGTGCCACTGAGTCTCATAGATCAGTGTTTTTCACATAATTTGTTAAAATAATCAGAAAAGAAAATAATGTGTTAAGATTAGATGGACTTTGTTCCTTGTTGTTTCAGCTTCAGATGGTGGTGTGCCTTGTCATTATTTTCAATGGAAAAGGCCACAGAAAAGGTTGGGGACCACTACCATTGATAATATTATGCTGCTTCCCAATTGCCAGATCATGCTTTTTAGAATCATCAATGCCCTCATTTCTGTGTTTGTGCAGAAATACTTGACTGCTCTGGCTGTCAATATTTCTATGGGAGCATGTTGAATATTAATAAGATTCAGTGCAGTTGGCAGAATGTGCAGCAGAATGCAATCTCAGCCACCCCTCAATTCTCATCCTTCCTGATGCTGCTGCAGCCCAGTCTCACTGCGCACTGTTTAAGAGGCGGGTAGTGTTGCTCCAGCATATCATGGACTTTGAGTTGAGGACATCCCCCCCAATTTATGAGTTTCATCTCTCACAACAGTCTAAATATACTGTATATAATGTGGGATATACTTTTTAATATAAGTTTAAATAAGATGGTGTTTGGATTTTTTCATGTAGTCTTGAACTATGAAAGACGAAAGATGAAATACGTCATGTAATAATTTGATTACATCCATGCAATCATTTTGAATTAATTGATGTCATCAGATAGTTTTCGCTGACTGGTTTTGTATGGGCTCACATTCTGTGGTTGTGGTTCAGACATCTGTGAAAAGACATTTTCGGGTTGAGTGGTGTTACTTGCTATCCATTATGTACAGTGGGCTGTTCTTCTTTACATAATTTCCCTGGGGTGCAGAGGCGAGATTTCTCACTGAAGACTAGAAACTTAAAACTACTGCAAATCTAATATTGACTACATTAAATGAAATATAATTTAGTATTCTTTTTGTGTTGTAGGAGGATGTCCAATCCAACAATCACATAATGCGGGCAGAGAAATAACATATTGATAAGCAAAGAACACATAACATCAGTACGGTATGATATATTAATATTTAAAACAACACAGTTGAGCAATAGTTTTTGTTTAGCTTTTATTGTCTGACACTTGTTTGGGGTTTTCAAAAGCAAAAAAATAAAAATAAGAATTAGGCTGGAACCTCACCCGTTTTTTCTGAGACTAAGTTAAAAAGGTTAATTATGTGTTCTTTATGTTTAAGGCATAGAGGGTTCTTCTTTACACTTTTGTATTATTAGAAGTTCATACTGCTTAATTACCTTCCGCCTTAGTTAGGAGTCAGGTGATGGTGTGAAGTGTCTTTCATCAGCTGTTGTTACCTGATGAACACGCTGCTGCTGTACTGGGTTCTTTGGAGAAGTGAGTCCCAAATGTGAGCCAGCGCATTATGACCATAGACTGGTCCACGGGCCACATGGAGTATGGCTCGATATGCAAGCCATGTCCTTTTTTGCATCTATTTAAATAAATCGGAGTCAATACTCAACTTTTTACGTGCTACACTGGCATGTTGATGAGCAGCACTGTTGAATGTCTCTTGTGTTTTCTGGTGATGTTTGTTTATTTAGATACAATTGAAATTATATTCAGATTTATTATACATGTCTTTATATTTATGTTTCACTATTATATCACTAAAAATTCAAAAAAATAAAAATATTCTGATTCAGATCATTTTAAAGCTTTGATCGGTAATAATTCATATAAAACATTCATCTGTCTGCATTATCCAGCCGTTTTTACTGCCATGTTTCCCTCTCCTTCTGAAATATTTTTGTTTTATAGAAAATATGTATATAACAAAAGTAGCTTACTCTATGCTATTAGACTTTTTGTTTTGTTTTTTGTTTTTTTGTCAAATTAATACTTAGTAATTGTGTTAAAACTGTTCTGGCTGTCCATAATAATTAAATATTCCAATGTGGCCCCCCGGGGAGAATGATTGTTCATCCCTGGCAGACAAAGAGGGTGAAACCACACGTTGGTCTGTTGCCAGTTGACTATAAAGGTACTGTATGTTATGCCTTCGATCTATGTGATGGGAATCATTTAGAACTGCGTCTTCGGACTCCGAGAGACTGTGGCGCATTAGCTGACACTGCTGTGGTCCGTGGTACAGGGGTCAGTGAGGGGAGAGGGGCAGCTGTTCTGGACCATCACTATAACTCACATGGGACGGATGTGATGTTTCTATAGTCGTGACTCTGTTTAAACTGTGTTAATGGTGAAACAATGACATACCCTTTGTAAAAATCTATTGTTTTTTTCAACCGATAAAACTCATTGTTTATAAAACTAGAGGTATAACATAGGCCTCCACAAACCACTGTTTTCAACCATTATGGCTGTGGTCGACTAATATTCATGGTCAGATGATTATTAAACAAAAGAGTGTAGTGCAAAAGTTGTCAAGATCTGACCACGTTTTCTGACCCAAACTGGACACACAAGACTAGAAATGTAGTCAAACTCAGAAGCAATTAATAGAAATTTGATAATTCAGTCTCTCCAGCGAACTCACTTCCTATGATTCCACTTTTTGATGATGAAAGCTAAACTCTACTTTTTTTGTTTCTAAATCTGGTGATTTAAATGGCTTTCTGTTCGGCCACACCCTGTTCATAAATGCTCATATACAAATAAGAACAGACAGGCATCATGAACAGGCTCCACACAGTAGCAAATCTATAGTGTGTATTGTTAGTATCATAACTACAGCTGTTCTTATGAGAGCAGCTGAAATGCATCCATGGCATTCACACACACACACACACACACACACACACACACACACACACACACACACACACACACACACACACACACACACACACACACAATAACCCAACCCAAAAATGATGGGATTGTTAAAATGCACAGTCTTGACTAACTTGCTTTGATTAGATAAGTGAAAAGTCTTACTATTTGTTCTTCTACTTGAATAGAGCGATGATTTAATTCCAAAAGTTGTTATTCTTCTTTGGCACAAAAACCTTAAATATCCATCAGTTTGAAGAAATCTGTCGATAGGTTTTGGGAAGAGTTCCAGGTCAACATAAAGTATCTGAGGAGTAACTATACTTGATTTGAAGCGAGAACAAATTACAAGGTTGGGAAGGTGGTAGTAAATAAAAGTAAAAGGGGCGGATGGGGGGCCTGGGAGGGGCAGGTCAGCTGGATGACTACACTGCTATTATGAGCACTTTATTTTCAATTAAGCCCTGGTGTGTCTACTAGAAGCTCACATTGTGCTATTTTTGATGATGCAGGGACTTCTGGGGCTGGAAATTGATTGGTTAAGCAAACGTCTGCAACTTTGCTCATTTGGGCACTTACTAAGTATTCAAAAGACAAACAGAAGGATATTGGACAATGGAAACCTTACAGATGCCTTCCTCATATATGGTTTTATTATTATGTATTATTATTCAGGTGCTTGATTCAAATTACACAAGACAATAGTTGGATATGAGATTTGAAATTACCAATTTCTATTCATAATATTTATATATAATATCACGTGTGAAAGCGTCCTTGTGGACTCATGTGTTGCATTATATTTGAAACACAACATGCAACATGTACAGACAATAAGAAAACATCACATGCAACATTTCAATTACTGCAGAAAACAGAGGATGGACATCTTTATGATGTTCCCATAAACAGCATGGCTGACAGTGCTGCAGATTTATGGAAGTGAGAGGGTGTTTGTGACCATTACTTAAAATAGGTTTAACCTGTCAAAATGAATAAAGTGTAATAGTCTAAGTTCAAAGGTCAATGGGAGTTAAGGTTATTTTCAAATGCAATGTATAAGTGGAAGAACTTAAAACCTGAAACAGACAAATTGCCCCACAAGTAACACTAAAGTGTACCTTCCCCCTTGACCTTAACTCGTAAGTCAGGCATTGAAACTGCTCTGCTCAGTTATTTTTTTTATTTTGGAAACAAACGTTTTATTTGGGCTGAAACTAATAATTTGATCACTTGAATGTTATTAATTATAGACATAAACAGAAACCTATTTAGTAATTGATTGTTCCCAAAGTCAACATCACCAAGGTTCCCCTGATCGGTTGGGAAAAAACACACAATTCTGAAGAAAATGTAAGGTTTACATTTTTTATTAATAACACACATAGCCATGTCTTCACTTTGGTAAGTACTGCCATTGTATAACACTAAAAATCCATCCCGACCGTTGATCACATTTAGCCATGAACCTCCTGAGCTGTTGTGCTGAAAGTGCTGAAACTGGAGCACCTGTGCATTCAAATTAGTATTTTAGGCTCATTGTGAAATATCATCCAACAATCCCTCACTTTTTGTGTCGTGTATTGGCCATTCGATAAATGTCCCTTGTTCTTTTCTAGTGATAATACAGAAACCACATTCTTCAAAGCAGGGCGGAGATGGATGATGGAATATATTTTATCATTACTCCGGTTTCCCCTACCACTAAAAACATATACAATAGGTCTGGCATGCGCCTCCTGTACTGGCGACCCCGCTCCCATCTCTGTGTGGAGTGAGAGGACAAATACCCCAAAAAAATAAATAATTGTAAACCACTTTGTGACTCTGGTCTGTGAAAGTAAATAAACTATTTTCCCCCATCTGGACTAAAATGTTAAAAAAAAATCCTATTCCTAGTGCTTGGGAGGAGTTCTGGATGGTGCGCTGACCGGGGACTCCGTTATTTTCAAGCAGGTCTTCAACTCCCATGTGGGAAATGTGAGGGGTGATTGGGAAGAACGATCCCCCTGATCTGAACCCGAGCGGTGTTCAGTTGTTTGACTTCTGTGCTGGTCACAGTTTGTCCATCACAAACACCATGTTCGAGCACAAGGGTGTCCACCAGTGCTCGTGGCACCAGGGCACCCTAGGTTGATGATCAATTTTGTTGTCGTGTCATCTGACCTCGGCCGTGTGTCGTGCACACTCTGGTAGAGTGGAGGGGGGACTCCACTCTACCAGAGAGGGACTATCATCTTCCTGGTTGAAGTCACCCAGGTGGTTGGCAGCCTCCTTTGTGGTAAGGCTGCAGGAGTGGATGAGATCTGTCCTGACTAACTAAAGTCTCTGGATGTTGTAAGACTGTCTTGGCTGACACGTCTCTGCAACATATCACAGCCGACCCCTCTCACCCTGCACATGGACCATTCCAAACACTCCCTTCAGGCAGGAGGCTGTGGTCCATCAGGACTAGAACCTCTCGCCACAAGAACAGTTTCTTCCCCTCTGCTGTTGGACACTTGAACACTTCTTAACCTCCCCGCCCTCTAGAAGTCCCCCACTGCTCTTTATAAAGTCACCTTACATTGTGTGCACCATGTGCACTGTATATTGTATATAGTAATTGTAACTCTATTGTAATTTTATTTTACATTTATTCCTTAGAAGTGTTTTTTATTCTTTTAATTTTTTTTATTTTATTCTCTCTGACTGTTGCACCGAGCCAAAGCAATTTCCAAGTCTGTAACCTCCTGTTACTTACGTGGCAATAAAAAGGATTCTGATTCTGATTTAAAGACAGAATTTCTAGGCGCAGTCAGGGGTAGGAGGGGGTCCGGTTCGGACACCACAGAATTTCATCTCTGCTGTTTGCGGACAATGTTGTCCTGTTGGCTCCTGCGAACCAGGGCCTGCAGCATGCACTGGGATGGTGTGCAGCCGAGTGCGAAGTGGCAGGGGTGAGAATCAGCACCTCCAAATCCGAGGCCATGGGGCTCAACCCCCGCCTCCCAGCTGGTCTGGGAACGCTTGGGGGTCCTCTTGGATGAGCTGTAGGAAGTGTGTGTCTGGGCGTGTCTGCTTAGAATGCTGCCCCCACGACCCAGCACTGAATGAAGCAGAAGAAAATGGATGGATTGAGAATATTAGCCCCAGCATGAACTGAGCTAAACAGTCATAATTTTTAAATATCAGCAAATAAGGGAATTGACTATAAATGTGTTGAGTCCTTGAGGTATTTTATCAAGATTTTGGATTGACTTGTTTATCTCTAACAGATATATATACTGTCGGGACAATGCGTCTGTAATATGGAGTGTTCTTGCAGTTCTTGTAGTGCTAAAGTGTGTGTGTCTGGACTCTATCTTCAGTCCGGGAAACAGAGGCCGCAAAAAGTGTTCCATCCTTGAGGTCAAAATAATGAAATAATATATTGTATTCTATGTGTGTGATAACTGTTATTTACCTGTCAATAACTTTAGCCTTGCATCTAGATCAGGAATCTGAAACTCATTTTATCTGCAGGCTGCATGGGCTGCATGAGCTGAAGGCTAGGGAAGCTGGTCCACACTAAGAAAAATGTTTTTTAAGTGTTTGTCCATCTATCCATCTTCTTCCTCTTAATCCATTTCAGGGTCGGGGATGGCAGTCAGTGCTGAACCCGATTCACAGAGCACCAATTACATGTGTGCAACATATATGAACATCAAAGCAAACAGATCTATGCAGAGATTTTGCTTTGCACACGGTTTCCCTCCTGGATAAATAGAATATGCCGCTTAATTTCAGACTGTGCCATCTTTTTCTTTCAAATTAACAGTAGAGAAAGTAAATGTGTTCGTAGAACAGAGAAAAAAGTCACTTTGCGTCTGGTATGTCCATCCATCCATCCATTTTCTTCCGCTTTATCCGTTGTCGGGTCGCGGGGGCAGCAGTCTAAGCAGAGACGCCCAGACTTCCCTATCCACACACACTTCCTCCAGCTCGTCCGGGGGGACCCCAAGGCGTTCTCAGGCCAGCTGAGAGACATAGTCCCTCCAGCGTGTCCTAGGTCTTCCGCAGGGCCTCCTCCCGGTGGGACGTGCCCGGAACACCTCCCCAGGGAGGCGTCCAGGAGGCATCCGGAACAGATGCCCGAGCCACCTCAACTGGTTCCTCTCGACGTGGAGAAGCAGTGGCTCTACTCCGAGCTCCTCCCGTGTGACTGAGCTCCTCACCCTATCTCTAAGGGAGCGCCCAGCCACTCTGCGGAGGAAGCTCATTTCAACCGCTTGTATCCGCGATCTCGTTCTTTCGGTCATTACCCAAAGCTCATGACCATAGGTGAGGGAGGGAACGAAGATTGACCGGTAAATTGAGAGCTTTGCCTTTCGGCTCAGCTCCCTCTTTACCACAACGGTCCGATACAGCGACCGCATCACTGCGCACGCTGCACCGATCCGCCTGTCAATCTCACGCTCCATTCTTCCCTCACTCGTGAACAAGACCCCGAGATACTTGAACTCCTCCACTTGAGGAAGGACCTCTCCACCCACCTGCAGAGGGCAAGGCACCTTTTTCCGGTCGAGCACCATGGCCTCGGATTTGGAGGTGCTGATTCTCATCCCAGCCGCTTCACACTCGGCTGCAAACCGTCCCAGTGCATGTTGCAGGTCCTGGTTCGTTGGAGCCAACAGGACAACATCGTCCGCAAACAGCAGAGATAAAATCCTGTGGTCTCCGAACCGAACCCCTTCCGACCCCTGGCTGCGCCTAGATATTCTGTCCATAAATACAGTGAACAGAACCGGTGACAAAGGGCTTTGGTTTCAAATAGAGGTTGGTAGTGATACTGACTTGAAATTGATCCAGTGAAACCAGCGGTGGTACTTCTGAATAAAAAAAGGACAATAATTTGGACTTGGAGTAGTTAACTTTTAAATCTACGACGACTGCCTGGAGGTTAGGGGTTCACAGTCTATGGTAACATAAATGGTGTGTGTTTTAAACCTAATTCTATCAAGAAAACACAATGTAAAACATGCTATATTTGATCAGTGGGGGCAGCATTGACATTAAAGTTTGATGTCCATTAGGTGGCCACAAAATATCTAGTTTTAAATGTGCACTTATAAGGTATTGCTAAATATCGGCACAATTCTATGCCTTGATGCCCAGTTGTTTCAAACATTTTTGATAGAAAAGTGTGGCCGGACTTCCCAGCATCAATCACCCAAACATCCTGAAGTCAGAAATCTGAAAACATGTGAATTGTGTGCATTAGAAAGACTGATACTATGCTGCAGTGCAGAGTTACACCTCTAATGGATTTGCAAGTCCATTTTACACTTAATCCAATCCCAGAAAAAGCATTTCAACTCAGAGGAAGTGGATATAACTAAGAGGGTGTCAAGAGACAGTAAGATGTGCAAGTGTATTTAGGAAGTCCATCACTTAACTTGCTTGATTAAAACAGGGCATAACAATTAAAACATCTGTCACAGGGAATAGTAACTATAGAACATGCTGAAAAGACAAAGAAATGGCAGAGCTTTGTTACCTTTATTGATAACAATTGATCTTAACCTCTGAATGAAAAAATATGATGTACATGTGGCCATTTACATTGATCTACTTTGTTATCCAGTCACATTTTTGTAGTTAAAAACTATGTTGTGTAATATGGAAGATAAATCCAAACATGGGTGAAAGTTTAAAATTCTCAATTGAAAATGTTTACAAGACAAAAATCACATTCTTACAAAAGCCAAAACATTTTGTTGCAGAAACACAAAAATATACTGCTACTGTGGAATTAAATATTGTTCCCTATGCACACATTTCAAAATGTGACACCCGTGTATAGACACAGATGTTTGGAATGCAGCATAAAATAAGCAACATATGCCGCTCACACGCTGCCATTAGAAAGCCTTGCTGGTGAAGAGTCCTTTAGGAAACTATTTGCAGTATGAATTATTTTTAAACACACACCTCCTTTACAACTTTCCTTTAAAACTGGGTGCAAGCTTGAGATGGATCAGAAGAGTTTTATGATGCTTTCCCTGGACTTTCCAACTCCAACCCATTTGACTGTTAAAAAAACAAAACAAAATTAAAAATACTTGAATGGCTTCCGGGTAATTGTTGAGACTAGTGCGACTTTACAAACCTGGCACTTGCAGGAAGTCCTCAATGAAATGAATGTAATCTTGTGCCTGTGTTGGCAGGTCGTCAAAGCTCCGTGCTGCCTCTGTGTTGCAGCACCAGCCGGGCAAGCTTTTGAACTCCACTTCTACTTTGTTCAACACATCCATGTTGGCTGTTTGGCAAATGATGATTAATTTGAGAGATGAATTAGAAGTTATTAGGTCTTAAGTGCATTGTTAGAGTTTCATTAAGTAGCTGGCAACAAAATAGCAGATCTTTACAAATCAATACAACACAATTTCAAGAAAAGGAACGTACCGGGAAAACTGGGAAGAGGCTTTCCATCAACATTGTAGGCCACACCCACTTTGATCTCGGGTAATGTGTCCAAAATGTCCAACTTGGTCAGTGCAATTCTTTAATAAGAAAAACAATACAATACATCAAAAAGAACATAAGTCAGGGGACCAAGTAAAAATGTGTGAGGATGACCTACGCGGAAAATCCATTGACCATGTGGGCATATCTGACTAATATAAGGTCCAGCCATCCACAGCGCCGCCTTCTGCCAGTTGTCACACCGATCTCCCTGCCTCTAGACTGTAAGAGGTCTCCGATGTCCTATATTATGAACACAAATTAAACAAAACAGTTAGAAGTCTTATAAGCAACTGCTCACTATATCAAAGTAACATGATGCACATTAGGGATGTCACGATTTCCGGTGTAGCGGTAAACCCCGGTAGAGGATGTGACTATAACATTTACAAGAATGCAACAATTTTTCTGGTTATCCATCTGTCAGTACTGTTAACGCCGCCGCAGCCTAGCTGTTTTGTGCTGGGCCCAGGAGGCAAAGGAGGGTGCTAGTCAAAGTCACCTCCATCATGGACAACACCTCCCACCCACTGCACAGGACTGTAGAGGAGCTGAGGAGCTCCTTCAGTGGAAGACTGAGACACCCTCAGTGCAAAGAGCGCTACCGCAGGACCTTCATCCCCACCGCTGTCAGACTGTACAATAAGTCACTAATGCACAAGGACTGAAAAAAAAAAAAAATAATACAGCATTGCTATTGCCACTCTTTCTTTTATTGCCACTTCATTGTACATAATTATATCCTGCACATACTATATTTTTAACCTTTAACATGTGTGCAGTCTTTTGCATTCTATCTATGCCAAATGTGACATGTACATTTCCCAAGTGCGAGATCAATGAAGTCTCTTTTACTAAGCTGCCTGTTAGCAGCCAATATACTAAGGTAAACAGTAATAGATGAGACGGTGAAATTAGTTTTAATCGTCATTCACTCCGTGTATTATAATGAAGTGTTATCCACCAAATGTTACTTGCGGCAAAAATTTGTTGACTTTTTTGAACATTAAAAAAATACTGCAATAATACCGAAAACCTTGATAATTTTGGTTACAATAACCAAATATAATAATAAGATTAGATTTTCATACCGTGACACCCCTACATGTAAAAATCAAAATGTGACAGTATTTGAAAGTACGTGAGTAGAATCCAAGTTTACTTACATTAGTAAGCTCAGTTGGAAAAGCCCCCACTCCCACTCGGGTGGTATAAGCTTTGACAACACCATACACCCGACCCACATGTGAAGGGGGAACACCCAGCCCAGTGCAGACCCCTCCAACAGTGCAGTTTGACGACGTCACAAAGGGATACGTGCCTTAACACAGTGTACAGGGATAAATAATGCAGTTTCATGTTGTTGCATTTACACCAAGTTGATCAGGTGTCATAGTCAATCAATTGAACATAACATCTGGGAAAAACCTTTTGCAAGTAACTTTTCCGCATCTGTTCAAACGCTTACCAAAGTCAATATCCAACAAAGCTGCATTAGCTCCTTCCACTAGAATCTTCTTGCTGGGCCCAGTGAGAGCTTCGTGCATGAAATACACACCATCAGTCACAAGGGGGCGCAGTCTCTCAGCATATTTCTGTGAGGACAATTGAATAGGGAATTAGGAGTTTTAACAATGGCCCAATCTCAATACTCGCACTTCCACCCTCGCGCCCCTCATTTGCGCGTTCCCGATGATGGGTGCGAGTGCGTAGGGTGTCCCAATTCTCCAGGGAGGTCTTTCGCCCCTCCCCCTTTGCGCCCCTGATCCACACTTCGCCGTAGCCTGCGTCCAAGCAGACTCTGGCGAAGGACATTGCCCACAATTCTTTGCAGTACACACCAAAACGTCGGGAAAATGCATTAAAGTGTAAGTTTTGAAATATAAATGCTGTATGTGTGTAAATAAAAGTTGCTATGTTACTTGGATAGAAGTACAAGTAAGTAAGTAATCTATATTTATATACCGCCTTTCACCGACCAGAGTCACAAAGCGGTTTACAATTGTAATTATAAATGACTAATTGAAGAATTATGGACATTCTATGCTAACAATTGAATAAGTTTAATGCAAACTTTCATATAACATTCAATTTAAACTTTACACTTAGTACAATAAACTTAGGATGTATAAAAACTTATCAGATAACACATTTAACTTAAAATTATACAGCTATCTCATTATAAATAACCAATATACATGTATGTTAACGTGTGTGGAGCAACTCATTTTGTTTCCTATAGAGTCGGACGAAATGAAAGTTTAGGTCTGAAAATGACCATCTCTTGATGAGTCGATGACGTAACCTGCACTCAGTGTGCACTGTCCCAATTCCACCTTTTTTGCACGCTTGTAACCAACGCACTCAAACCCTTGCGTGCAATTCAAAAAAATGCACACTTCGTAGAGGGGTGCAGTGTGGGTATTGGGACTGGGCCAATGTCTAAGACATAAAGACAGAACACATAATGAGCATCTTCTACCTTCAGCTGCTGAAGTTCAGCCTCAATGTCAACATTGAGGTTTGGATACATCGTCAGGAAATGTTCTGCCAGCATCCGAAACCTGCAAATCCCCAGAGGCGCACATAAAAAAAACATGTGTCATGTTAAAAAAATACATGTTTATGAAGTCCAATATGCTCTGAATTTTGGATTCAATTATACAAACTTATAAAATCAGACCACTACATGCAGAAAGATCCCTGTGAGTCACTATTTGACACGGTGGGTTGAGAGCTAATAGGGCCACCCTCTCTCGAGATCTCCTTCACTTTTCGGTCTGAAAAAGCTGATCTAAAGATGTTATGGAGGCCAAAAAAATCCCCTAAAGCTAATGATAGAATCAGACTGGTTTCAGAACGAGGAACTAGTTACATGCATTTTGTTACATTAGAACAGTTGGGTAACACAGCTTTACTCCCATCTAATCGTTTCCTACCTAAGAGTTGAAACGTTATATCCTCAAAGAGAAATAAACCCAACATGCATAACTTTCATGATAAGAACGTAGTTTGCAAAGAAAGTAAAGACTCACTTTTCCTCAAAAGTCTTAAAGTCTGATACAAGGTCACAAACTCTGAGCCCATTGCGAGCCGCTTTGGAGGAGTAGGCAGGACCGATGCCCTTCTTAGTGGTTCCAAGACTGTAATGCAAAAGTCAGGAGTCAAAACCAAAACCCACATTAAGTATAGAAGTGAGTCTATAAAAATAACTAACTTTTTCCCTTCTTGTTGCTGCCGTTGCTGCTCCTGGATACCATCAACAGCTTGATGAAAGTTGAACACTAAAAATAAAAGATTAAAAAATATGTAATAAATAAATGTTGGTATTTAGAATATAATCTGAACTACTAAATTGAGATTCACCAATGTGCGCACGATCAGAGATTTTCAGCCTCTCTTCCCATCCCTGTAATCCTGGAGGGAAATAAACACACAGATACAGTTGACCACATTAACATTTTATGCACTTGGACAGCTATTTGTAAAGACAACTACAAATCTACCTTTGCCCTTTTGCAGGTTCTTCTCTGCCTCCTCAAACAGACCTGGCAGGTGAATAACTACCCCATTGCCTGCAACATAAAACATGCAATAACAAAGTGATCTTGAAGTGTCTAATCGTGTAGGATAGATATCATTCATCACATATATCATAAGCCTTAATGAATAAGTGTCGTACCAATAAAAGAGACTGCCTTTTTATTGAGCACTCCACTGGGCAGCAGGTGGAAGTCATACTCCACAGAGTCCACAACAACTGTATGACCCGCATTGTTGCCTCCCTGAAAAAATAAAAAAATGTGATCCAAAAAACAAGAAACTTTGACAGTACTTTGGCAATGCTGTACAACTCTAGGGCTCAGGGCCAACCAGAAATAAATTGAAGATAAAAAAGGTAGCCAAGTGTTTGTGGGAAGTCCGGTTGCTGTGTAAAAAATGTCCTTGATTCAGAAGCATTTAAAACATCCCAAAACCTGATTCTTATTTGGTGAATTAATTAGTTTGACAAAAGTTATGTTGTGAATGATCTAAAGAAATAGAATTCATCTATTTGGATGGTACAGTGTTATTAATTAACAGACGATGCAGTGAATATATACCAGATTGTAGCCTTTCCATTCGTTGCCCTAGTCACACTGACACACTCGTTCATGCTAAACTATTATACATGTTTATCTGGAGGAAACCTACAGACATGGGGAGAACATGCAAACTCCGCACAGAAAGCCCCTAATCTAGAGGTGGAATCATCATGTGATTAACCACTGTGCCAGTGATATAACTTGGAATGGAAAATGATCAAAATATTCATTCTTGGATTAAACTGCAAACTTTAAAATTAAGTCACACCAATTACAAGACCATTATTTCACTTGAACCTGGGGAATTGCTAAAAGGCAACAGTTGGCAGTAGTCAACGAGTCCAGTAATGTGTGTGCACGCCAAAGGATCCTAAAACAGATTCAGTTTGAAGGCGTAGACAGCAGCGATAGGCTAGAGTGCCTAACTTGTTTGTCCAAACACCTTATCTTCATATTATTAGATTTTTTTTTTAAGATAAGATAGATAAGAGATTCTTTATTCGTTCCGCAGTGGGGAAATTTTAATCATATAAATACATAAAATCAAATTGTTTTGGAGTACTAGGAGCTAGTTACATGGATTGCATTGCTTAGTTATTTATTATGGTTTCACAGACAAGTACTTCAGCCATTACATCCATGGGTGTAGATAGATAGTGAGATAACACAGACACTACAATCTTGGTGGAAGTTGTTGCGAAGAAAACCATGTGCTAACGTTTCAAAAAACGGTTCAATTCACAGTATGTAACACTCATCTATACACACAACACGCACACATTGTAGATCCATGGGGCACACCAGGGATCTATAATAATAACGGTGCACACACAAACCTAGCTTACTGCTACATTAGCAACAAAAAAACGAGTGCGCACTTCCGGGAGGCGTCACAGATTAACGCTGACGTAGGAGGTGGACGTGAAAATAAGCACTAAATACACAAAAACTCAACCAACTCCATTCAGCACAGATCTAACACAGAGCTGAGCAAGTGCCCCGTCTGAATATGTAGGTGTAACATCGTGAACAGAGCTTAGTGGTACCTGACACCTGCACACAATATCCGCGTCCATAGCGAGCAGGTCCACTACTTTCCCCTTGCCCTCGTCTCCCCACTGGGCTCCGAGCACCACGGTCACTTTGTTGTGCGGCTCTTTGAGTGTGCGAAGAGCCGAGTGAGAGGCACTCTCCCGGGGCCGCTTCACCACCGGCTCCCCGTTCACAGACGCCGTCTCTCGTCCATTCCGGTTCTCCATTGTGCCGTCGGAAGATGCCATGCTGCTGCTGCCCTTCTCAAACAAACCGGAATACCGTTTTACCGCGTTTCTGTGCGTCACGGGAAGTGTCGTGTCTGCAGTGCCCACGCTCTGCCGCTAGATGGGAGTGTTTCCTCTCTAGACCATAGTAAACCCATATACTGTAAATATTAAACCATAATAAGTATAATAAACCTTAATAATTCATTGGAAGCAGTCTAAGGTCCATAGCGTACCGAATGAAACTGGCAACAATAAAACCAAATGAATAATAAAAGCAGCAATATATATATATATATATATATATATATATATATATATATATATATATATATTTATATATATATATATATATATATATACATATATTACACAAATATATGTGTTGAATTACAGTGTCTGTCGACTCTGAATGTTGAATGAGTGGCAAAGTTCTTGCTAAGTTCTTCAATTACAGATTTCTTCTTCCATTATATTTTCTGCGTTTTGCATTTTAAAGTTTATTCTTATGTGAAGCACTTTGTGATAATGATTGCTGTGAATTAAAGATGACTTGCTTTTCAGTGAGTGCTGACTTTCTCCCTGGGGTCGTTGCTAATCTACACCACTGCAGAGACCCATAGAGTTTGTCAGTTACAATGGGTCTCTGGACAATGGTCAGAAAGGCCTTGTACGGCCTGGGAGTCAAACCTAGACCTTTATGCTCAGAGGTACTATGTCTCACGTTCATGTCTCATGTCCATGGACTTAAAATTCAATATATTTTATTTAGACTAAAAATATTTCAATAATACACATGAGAACACATTTATAGTACGAAATCAGTCAAAGACACATACAATCTTAATAAATTGTAATCAAAGTAACTAAGTATTTTTTATTTATTTAAGGTACAATGCCTTTCATAGACCAGGGTCACAAAACAACTACGCAAGCACAAGTTCAGAGACCAACATATTTTATTTCTTAAATGTGACATTACATGTATTCTTTCTTAATCTGCTCAGAACTGAGCACAAATACTCTACTCTCCAAAATGTATTGAATGGAACACACACAGCAGTGGCCTACAGAACTGACAGGCAGCATGCAAAACACTGGCTGTCAATTCATAGGTCATCACCTTGCAGCCCTACTTCACATACAAAATACAATCTGCAAACATAATCAAATATAAACATATGCACTTAAGTTGAGTGTAAACTAACAATAGCGGTTGCATGTGATGTCTTTCTGCAGGTAACGGCACCTCCACTGGAACTATCAGATCTTCCACATGGAGTTGCTGTTACATCCAGCCAGCATCAGGAAATGACCCTATCATAATTCACAAACCTCTAACTCTTCATCCACAGAAGGAGACCGCGCTGGAGTGGTGCAGGTATCTGAGCCAGGTGAGACTGGACAAGCTTTTAGTATCCTTCTTGGAAGACGACTTTGACCCTGGGTTTTCCTCCGCCCCTGTTTATTGCCTGTAGCATTCAGCATCATTGCTCACACTTCTGCACCGGTGCGGTCAAAGGGCTAAGGCCTGTGCAGATAAGGCTGCTTTTATGACAGTTGTCAACATGAGGCTGTGTTTCAATATGTGAATATCAGGGTGTGTCTGAGTTGTACCTGCAAGCTCTCGGCTTCCTGCTCTGAGGCCTCAAAAGCACCAAAGGCCCAGAGCATTAATGTTTCGGAGATTTTTCTCTGGTGTTGTGTTGAGCGATATCCTGTTATACCTGAAATGAAAAGAAAAACAACGCAACCTTTATTGTATATGTCAGGAATTAATGCATTTATTATACAACAATTATTATAAACTTAGTTATAAACAGTATTAGCATCTGTCTATACTTTAAACTTCCCTTTTCTTACCCTAACTAACCCTTATCCTTTCTACTTTGACCCCTCATTGGTGAAATCCAAAATGATATACATTGAAAGCGTGGTAACCCTGTCATAACCTGTCTGAGTGCACTCACCTTGGGTGCAGGACGTAGAAACAGCTTTTTGATATCGAACACAGCGAGAGACCCAAGACCCCCAGAGCAGTGAGAAAGACAGCCCCATAACAAGCGACTGGTTTGAAGTGTTAATTTGAGCAGGGTCAGTGCAGTAATGGCAGTGGGCGAGAGCAGCCAGTTTAAGAGATCATGAGTTGGTGGAAGGTTAATGATTAGACTTGAGGTCAATATTTAACAGGCCCAACGCCCTGCCCCTCAGTCCAACCTCCTGATTCACACAGTGACACACAGGGCAGGGCATCTCTGTCCAGAATATGTACTCCATAGTTTGCCACCAAATTTCACTTGCATCACATGATATAACACTTCAAAACTTTAATGAATATTGTACCCAAAAGCAAGGTTACTATAGTCTCGACATGTGCAACAAGTGCAGGAATATGAAACTCGAAGGTATTGACCAAGAGCTAGGTGCAGGGAAGCTTAGGAAAACACCGATTGATTAGGATAACGATAGCGACATTACTATGTGTCTTTTATCAGCAAATATTCATTTACAATACACAATACAATACAATACAATACAATTTACATGTATTAGTTACTCAAAAAGTTTGAGAAAGATTATGTACCCTCTACTAAAAACTTTTTATGTTATGTTTTATTCTACTTGACAGCATCAAAATGTTTAGTAGTGGAGAGATGTTGACTTTCAAGAAGATATTGTCCCAAACATGAGTAGTTAAAAGAACTGATATATTTTGGTCACTTTGTTGCTCGTCGTTCTAGAAGGACGAATAGATACATTTTTACAACCAGAAAACCTTTGAACAGATTATTAAGTGGCTTAACCAAGTTCAGGACAGAGCACAACTATTTTACATTTTAATGCTGATGTTGGCAACCATTATTGAGTTCTAAGAAATATTGTTTAGAATTATATTATTATTATTATATTATTATTGTAGCTGTTCTTTTCTTTTCTTGATTTTGACTTCCGTTGCCAAAAGTGCTATTGATCGGTGAGGTTGAATGTTTCTGAACTGTGCCACACGTGACAAAGAAAAATATTTAGACTTGGTTTTGATATTTTTTAGGAAAATAGAATAAATGTGTTGGCACAGAGGTGGGAATATACTTATCATTGACGTGCTTAATACGGTGTTATCACAACGGATGAAAACCATAAACATTGCTGACCAAAATGATTCAACCAATAAACAGATAGAAAACAGATAAATGAGAAGAGATAAGAAAAGCATTTGTCTGAAGATCCTTCAGTGCTGCACACTTACATATGCCCAATTCTGTCTACTAAACTATGTGGAGCACAAGATTTAATATCTTAACTTTAGTCAGAGACAGTGAAAACATTTACACTTTGTCAGACACCAAGATCTTTGCACGTTTCTTTCTCATACTTGAGCTATCTTATCTCTAAGTTCAAGGGATGGCTGAGTGCAGAGTCCAGAGTCTCAGAGCGAGGGCCTGCCTCTAGATAAAGTCATTCTTTTGAATAAGCTGTGCCTTCGGTCATAATAATTTCTGTTGCAGATAAAAGCTTCAATTTGCTGAGCAAGACTTTATCTCGTGCTGTGCAAGGTCACAAGCAGCTCTGAGAGGAACGCAGATCTCAATTCAAGAATCATTTACTCGTTTACGACAACAGTAAACAGTGGGAGCATCAGAGTTCAGAATAAAGTCTTATTTCCTGGTATGTGCCAACTTAACATTAGATTTGTGTTTTTGTAAATAGTAAAATTGGTTTATGTGACCTCAGTACCTCTACCCCCAGACTGTTGGACTACTCTACGGACACTGCCCCCGATCCATTATCCTCCACCTTATACCTGCCAACTGGTTTGTGCATTGTTGCAGCTAACATACTCACTTACATCCTGTTACTGTTCTGCTAATCTACCTCCTATAGCCCTGTGCTATTTACATCCTGCCAACATCTGCACTTTATACGCTCTAATAACACAACGATGCTCAAAATGTTATTTTGCTGTTTTTTCTTGAACAAAATGACGAAACAAAGTGTGTAAAACTAGATTACACTATTTAATAAACTCCCTCCATATTTGTTTTGCCCCAGGAAAGTTTTCGGCCACACCCTTTTTATCAATGCAGCACATACTGATTTATATTATGTCACAGCAAACTGATCTGTGTGGTTTTGAGACTGGTCCCTGCTTTTAAATGTTGATTTACACACATAAAAAAAAAATCATGTATTTTGCCTATTGCTATCACTACTCCAAAATTCATGGGTTTCATTTTCCCATTTATGCAACACTCAGGGCCTTTTACAACTCAAAGGATACAATACATTTAGCATTTAAATACAAATCACTATGGTAACAATCCTTTACATTTTACACACATGAATATTTCCTTTTCTTTACGCTGCACTAAAGCAATTCTAGTTTTAACACTATATTTAAATACTTTTAAAGTTTATATTTCACCCATTTTATCATCCTAAAAATCATTAAAATCCATAAGAGACTGGTGATTTTTTCAGTATTGATTTAATTCCATACTACATTAGAAACTATGTCAAATTACCAACATTGAACCCCGGAACAGAAACAGAAACAAAAAAATTTGATTAGACTTTATTATTTCTAGAGTGACAAAACATGACATTAATAAAAATGAATCGATAGGATCATTTCAATAGTGATAAAACACTCGAGGATGCTAAAAATGATCAGAATTGTTTTAAAAAAAAGCATTATGTACACGATTTCTAAATAATTAAATCCATTTGGGGCTGGTCACAATTTTAATAAAATACAAATAAGTAAAAGTTCAACAGCTACATTAAGAATCCAGTTATTATACACAGTGACAAACATCTATCAACAAAGTCTCAGATAAACTGTGCAAACTTTATTGCGTGGTTACGATTCTTCCCTTATGGGAGTGCAGCCGGAGAAGAAACTGTTCTGGAAGCTAGTCAGAAGGCGCTTCTTTTTCTTGAGGAAGCTCACGGTTGTGCGCTCGTCCTCTTCCTCGTCCTCGCCTTGTGGCATCATGGTGTCATGGTGGTCTTCTGTGCCGTGCCCCATTTCTCCTATTTCTCTGAGCACCTAAAGCAATAACACCACAGTTTTAAAACACCAAATGTGCATAGATTGTGTTCAGTTTGGAACTTAAAGCTGGGGTACCTAACATTTATTTATATTTTGTGTTTGTCCCAACAGAAAGAATACCTTTTGAACAAATCAGACCACAATGTGCTTTCTTTATGTTTTTTGGATATCATCTCAAAAATCTATCAAAAACGCCTTTACAGGATGGTCCAAAACTCTGCTCTTGGCCCAAAGCTACGTTCCAAATGTGTGTCAATGCTGAGGAGTATATATTTTTTTGGACCAGTCTAGTTTAGTCGCTGTGGAATTTTGAAGGCACTCGTCAAATGAATGGGGCTCGTGCCGGCTGACGCATGCGCAAATGCATTTGTTGTTCCCCCACATTTTCCAGCCCCCGCGGCCATTTTGAAACTGCCCATAGACGGTGAAAGTGATGAAACCATAGTTTGAACGGTGGAGATATAGGGGTGACTACGTCCAATAATACGTGTTTTCAATTAGAGGAGTTTTTTGACTAAATTGATGAACAGCCTTAGATGAGCTTCATGTTTCTATCCATGCCGAATGTGACATGTAAATTTCTCCTCCTTGTGAGATAAAAAAAGAATATCTTATCTTATTTACAGTCTATGATGGCATAGATCCAGAGCAAACAGCACCCTCTTCAGTGAATCTTAAATTAATCTAAAATGATTTAGAGCAGTTTCTGTGAGCTCACCCTTAAACCAGTATGCATTTTTGTTCATGTTTAAAGATAAAGAAATAATACATCGTCAGTATAATGCAGGAATGTAGCATAGGGTAAACTCAAAGCAAACATGATTTTAAAACAGTAATGTCTGCTCACTATGTTTTTTCTTTTCCTCACAATATTTGTTAACCATAACATTTGAAATGGCAACAGTCCTAGTGAGAATGGGAAAAAGGTGACCCACCTTCTTGGTGGGTGTGCAGGTAGGAGGTTTGAAGAAGGTCCTGTCAGGGCTGCCGCTCCTGGATTCTTGAGGAGACACGGCGCTTTCCTTAGACACATTCTGACTGGAATCCTGTATCAAGTGCATGTCAGAGTTAGAATGACAAACACAAAACACAAGAAAAGCAGAAATAATGTTAACGGGTCATTTTTCGCACATACGTTTAACAGTCCATGTAATGAATGGAATGTTGCGCTATACATCATAGACGTTATATCCATAAGAATATTTCAGAGCATGAGAACATAAGTCCAGAGCTCTCACTTATAAAGAGTGTGTCAAATTGTACTTTGATTATTTTTGCTGTACTTGATCCTGTTGGAAAAGATCAATCAGGTCAACAAACTACTAATACAACTGAAATTAAAAATAATGTATTTCTCATTTGCACAATAAGAAAATGCTTTAACAATTAAACATTTTATCAAATATTTTAACAGTCAACAATAAGAGCCACTGTCATAATCCACTCATTCAAACGGTACAAAGAAATAGCTGCCATGTCAATGCACCGAGAGAATTTTAGAACTCTTATGTCACACATAAAATTGAAACTTAAATAATATAAAAGCTTCTCCAAAGTTTGTTTGAAGAGTTGGTTGTTTTTGTGCGCCAGTGCTAGCAAAGAAGTTATACTAGGCTGGGTGGTGACTTTTCCGATGTTTGATCAAGTTGCTGATATTATACGAGTCTGTTTTGTACCCACCTTGTGACAGTTTTGCCTTTCACAACGTACAGTCCACTTTACTCTTGTCACACACATTTCATTTTTTTTTCATCCCCTTTATTTTTCCATTTCTGGGTTCGGGGGGACGGCAAGCAGAACTGCCAACCAAATCACACAACACCAGCCCCTGGCTGATCCTCCTGCAGGTGGTGGGTCCACGGGAAGATATGGCCTTAGTGTTTCAGAGGGGGCTTTGGGCAATGTGGGGTTAAGTGACTTGCCCAGGGACACAACGACAGCAGACTTGATTGGGAGTAGATAACATGGGTCGTGGGGGGATCAAACCCACGACTATTAGGCTCCACCAACTGAGCCACTGTCGTCCTCTCTTGTCACTCTCGTTTTTTTGTTTGTTTTTAAACGTTATTTTTCTTCTCGTGTACAGCTGTCTGCTGTTGTGATGCTAAATATAAAATGTGCCGCATTGGTTTAATGGTATGAGTACGAGTACAAGCCTATGGTATCGATGCATACCTATTTATTTGTACCCATAGGTATTTCTGTCTTGCTGTCAGAGAGAGCTGGTCCCACACTCAGAAGAAACTACTTTAGAAAACTTGCATGTCCTCCTACTTAATAAAAGACTGCGAGCCCCTCGTCCCGTTTTGGGATCAATCATTTTAACGTTTGTCTGATATGTCCACATGTCAAATGATGAAAGAGGTCCCAAAACTTAAATGAAGTCTGAGGATTGAACCGGCAACCTTTTTCAGAGGCATACGTTCTAACCACCAATATTGGCAAAATAGAAGTGATTGTATGAATCTGATGTAGTGTTAAAGTTGTATTGAAATGCACTGCGCTTGATTCTGCAGAACTCACTTTAGTGGAGGGTCCAGTATCTATGTTGCGGCACTTCTCGTGATCACACTGGCAGTTCTCTCCACACGTCATCAGTCCTTTACGGCACCTGCACAGCTTGTTACTGCAGCGACCTTTGCAGGAGCACTATGGGCAGAAATAACATCATAGGGCTTATACTAAAAATATTGAACACATAACTCACACTTGCAGTGTCACAACATCATCAGAAACCACTCCCATCCAGCCCACCGACTGTTCCACCTGCTGCCCTCTGGCCGGAGGTACAGGTCACTCCCTGCACGAAACTAGCAGAATGGCCAACAGCCTCTACCCCCAGGCTGTCAGACTAGTCAATGAACACTACTCCCCTTCTCACCCCCCACTTTTACATATCTGCCATAACTATGAACTGGTCGTGCATTGTTGCAGTTAGCATACTAACTTACTGTTCTGCACTTTATCTGCTGACGCTCCTAATGTAATTGTGTTGTTTTTGTGGCAATGACAATAAATTATTGAATCTTGAACCAGGTTGGAACCTTACCCCAGTGGACTTTGGTTTTTTGGTGCTTATACGCCTCTTTTCAACCACTTTTGGACGCCACTCCTCGGATTCTTCCTCAGAGAGCTCCTCTTCCTCACTAGAAGGCATCAGCTCCTCCACAATGATGGTGGTATTGACTGGTGCTGCGGTTGAGCGCTTTGCTTTAGGCTTTCAAAATCAAGTGCAATATTTAGTTAGATTTATAATAGGTGACCAGTGTGTACGACATCCTGGTCCAATTTCTTACCTTCGGAGGAACATACTCAAAGGAGTCATCTACATTTTGTTCATTTAGGGCTGCAGGTGCAAGAATCTTTCCAAATTTCTGTGGAAAATGTAGATATAGTTGAACTAAAGGCAAGTACAATGGTAGATGCACTAATCCAGCCATTCCCAAACTCAGTAACACAGAGGCCCCCTTAAAAATCTGACGGGTCTGCGTGGCCCCCCAAAATAATAACCAAGAAGACAACATTAAGAATAGGCTCTTCTGGTTATTTTATTTTGGGGAAATAACCTCTGCTACAAACATTGTAATACAAAAATGATTACAGTGGATTATTAAAGTCAAATAATGAACACAAATATTTTAATATTACAAACAAAACATTATAAATTTAACATTAAATAATTATATATATTATTTTTTTTTTTTTATGACCTCCCGCGGCCCCCCTGCAGTACCCTCGCGGCCCACCAGGGGGCCGCGGACCCCACTTTGGGAGACACTGCACTAATCCACGATACATACCCGCTTGAATACTTCATTCTGCTCATTTAATTGGCGTAGCCTGGTGATCTCCTCTTCCTGTAACAACACACATAAGTCTCTTGTTTGGGCGTACAGAATGATTACTGTAGTGTCCCGACTTGCACACAAACCTGCATCTGAAGGCGCTCCAGAAGCTCCTTTTCCCTTGAACTTTCATTTTGGGACACTGGTTCTTCAGGTTCAACGGATATAGATTTGTTTTGACGTTGTGCAAGTAAATAATGGACCTGAAACATGATAAAGTGAAGATGCGCATTATGCAGCGATGTCGCAAGAACACTTTACAGTATTTTGTCATGGGGTAGGTTTTGGATCCTGAGGATGTTTGGGCCCTCTTGTCTCTTATTCTAATAATAGTCTGTTTGCTGTATTGAGTGTTGTTGTTAAGCGTTGAATGGGTGAGGCCATATACGCTTTGTCCAACACCCTAGACCCGGCAGCCTATATAGTAATGGAGTTATTAGAGCATCCCCTGGGGTGTAGGAATGAATTTGGACACATCAGCTGCTGATCTCCAGACTTGATGACGTAGTACACATTCCAGCTTCAGGGCAGTTATGCTTTGATCATAATCCTTAAAATCATGGTCATTTGAAACAGTCGTATCAGCTTTGATTTGCTCTATTAGCTGAACGCTACATTAAAAACCATGATAATCCTTATGTGCGGCCTGCTTTCTATTTAAATTTAGCTGGTGTCTGTATACAGCAAGAACTTTACATTATCTATGTTGTTATATGTCAGGTTTGAAAACAAAGCCTAGTAAGAAAGCTTTATTTATATAAACCGCCTTTCACAGCAGAGTCACAAAGCGGTTTACAATTGTAATTATTTTTTTTTGGGGGCATTTGTCTTCTCACTCCACACAGAGATGGGAGCGGGGTCACCAGTACAGGAGGCGCATGCCAGTCCTATTGAACATATTTTTAGTGGTAGGGGAAACCGGAGTACCCGGAGGAAACCTACGCAGACATGGGGAGAACATGCAAACGCCACTCAGAAAGGCCCTGGTCCGACCAGGATTCGAACCCAGGACCTGGAGGCGAGAATGCTATCCACTCAGCCACCGAGCCTAATGGAAAGACTGACTAAAGCACCTTCTCCTGATGTTGCTCCTCCATTTCGACCAACTGCTGTTGGTGCTCCATGTCCATAGTAGACATCACATTTCTCTCCTCAGCCAGCATCTTTCTAAGGTCCTGGGAATTTGCATTCTCTTGTTTTAGATCACTCTCCAGCTTTGCACAAGCAGTTTTAGCGCTGACCAACTGTAATGAAAAAAAGAAAAAAGCACTTAGACTTGACTCTAAGCATCTTGTTCTAAAGTTGTCATAATGCCTCTATTTCAATAATGTTCACTTCCGGCTTATTCCATTTTCTCTTCAGTTTTGTCTTCAAGTAAAATGCGTACTAAATTTGATTCAGGTTATTTACCAGTGCATGACATTCTACACATTCATTCATTATCATGTAATGTGATTATTTGCATAATAGTAAAATGGGATGGACGAATAACAGCTCAAGCGCTACAATTCTTTTGAGCACTACAAAATTGGAAGGCACACATAAAAACAGTGATTCCATTGTTGACTGGACGCAAGTACCCTCATTTTAAGGCTGACTCTACAGTTAACACACACACACATACTAATAGTGTGAATGTCTCACGATGGACCTGACTGTATGCATCTGCTCACCTCAGACATAAGGACCCTGAGGGCGCACTTTGCTTCTACAATGCTTGTGATCCCATCAACACGTTGTTTCCAGCGCCGATCACTGTCAGCAGCCAGAACTTTCTGTTGCAAATCAGCAATCTGTGCATTTCTGAAAAGCACAAATGTGGTTAGTGTCAAAGAACTATGCACTTTTAAAACAAATGCTGCTATGCATCCCATCATGGATACCTGTGCTAGCTTATCCACTGTACTATGAGGAAATTATTCAGGGTTTAAGTGTCAAAATGTCCGAATAGTCTCAATTGTTCAAGCACAGAATCTATGAACTCAAAAATAACATTTCTCACCTGAGGCTCATCTCAGTCTCCAAGTTTTCTACTTGTTTGCTTAAAGGCGTTTCCATGGAGCCCTGCGCCTCCAGCTCAGAGATGATCATGGTTCGACGCTGAATCCAAACATGAAAACTGTTAATTCAAGTTTTGTTTTCCCATTTTATTCATACTCAGAATGTCAGAAAGTTAAGAACGTCTCACCCTAATTTTTGTGGGTGGTCGCTCTCCAGCTTCGATCTGTTCTTTGAGGTGGCTTATGTCCTGAGCCAAGCCCTTCCGGTCCTCCAGGAGATCTTTCAAGTGTCGCCGCGCCTCCTCTGTGCTCACCATTACCTCCACTTCATTGCAAAGCCAGGCCTAAAAAACCACAGTAGCATCGTCTTTCATAAATCAACGAAAAACGGTTATGCCTAGATGTTTATATACCCTAACACAACTACTCTATATTCATTTTTCAGAGGATATGGTGAATGAGTGAAGCCATTTTTAACCTCTATAAATATATCACATGTTTACATACCCTGGTCATTATTTTTGGCCTCACAAATTGAACCCATCATTGACTTTGAATGGGTTCAATCAACCACTAACCATGAGAGAAAAAAAATACCATTATCTGATAACTATACATACATGTGTGTATATAATAATTCAAAGTGTGCCAGGATATGTATAGGGATCTCCCAGTCACGTGACCCATAGCCGCGTGTCAGCCATTGACAGTGTCCGCAGCAATGGAGCTAAGCTAGCTAGTTCAAAAACTCTCTGGAACTACATGAAAACTGAACAAAGAATTCTGAACATCAGAGGTGAGGAAGTCATGTATATACCGAACCTAAATCCATAATCAGATCCTCTTCAAATGTGTCCTAAAATGTTCGTTCCATGTTAATGGTTACTTCCGGGTTTATCACGATCGCTTTTTGTTACATTAAAACAGTATTTTTGTCATGAAAACGTTAACAAATAATTCTGAAAACCTGCGTGCATTTGTGTTAGGGATGTATATGTATACTGTATTCTCTGATTAACATTTAATGGTGTTAAAATGTATTGGCATTTGTTTGAGAGTGGCTAGCTCTGCTAGCTTCTCTACACAGTGGTGACAGGCACTGAAGGCTTATTGTACTTGTATTTTTGTCATGAAAACGTGAACAAATAATTCTGTAAACCTCCGTGCACTCTGTATGAAGATATTCCTTTTGTCTGATCACGTATCTGGTCGCATCCAACTGCACAGCATTGCTCCGGCATGATGGGAAAATCTCGCTACTACCTGTAGTATCATCGGTGGTTTTGCATTTCTACACCGTCAAAATGGCTGCTCCAAATGGCGTGACGTCACGCGGGACGTCCCTATATTAATGTGTGTGCATGTGTCCAGAGATGCAGGCTGTAGTACCTTCACTCTGGCAGCAGCACTCTCCATTCCTTTGCTCTGCACATTATTTCGTTTGTCGACCGCCTCACTTCTTTTCATGAGAGCATCTTTTAAACGCTTGTTTGCAGCTGCGGCCTGTACAAAAATGTTTTCAATAAGGAAATATGTCGAGAAAATTGTTTAAATGACAATGTAATACGTTTAACATGTACCTCTTCTGTTTTGCGACGTAGGATATTTGCTTGTTTCTGATAATCCCTTTCAAGTTTCAGCAGCTCGTACTGCCGCTTACGATCCTGATGAATAATACAGATTTTATAGATATTGTAGATCATGTGGTTACAAGGAAAATGGCTCAGTGCATACTTTTTCTTTAAGCTGAATAACTTCTCTGTCCTTTTTGCTCTTCCAAATCCTGAATTTCTCAGAGTCGTCCCTCATTTGTCTCATTAGCTGTGTGCGCTGACCCTTCATTGCCTGGAAGGACACCGCATTTATTACTAAAGGTTTGGATGGAGATTAAACATACAGGTGAAACTTCTGAATATCGATCAAAAGTGTATTCATTTCTGTGATTCAACTGCGAAACCAATATATAAGAGCAACATTTGACAAGACTTTGAAGATTTTAAAATTTGCCATGGACTGTCAAAATAATAACAAAGATATTTTATTTGCAGTTTTTACTGGCTTTGAATCCTTCCGACCACCACCAATCATCACACACACATACGCACAAAGTGTCTTGCCTAAGGACACAACAATTTAGCACTTTACAGCCACCCCACTGTGGCACCTGTTGTTACCACAGGTCTCCCATCACAGTTTTAACCAGGCCTAGCCCTGCCCCGTTCTGACAGGACTATCATATTAGATATTAGAATTTACAAATAGTTAAGTTGAATTACAGTAGTAGTTTGACTTTTGAATGACTTTCTAAATGTCTGAATTTCACCTGTAAGACGCATGTACAATCGTAATGACAGTTACCTGGATCTCCTGCGTGAGTTTACCAACTTTCTGGACGGAGGATTCTTTAAGTTTTAGAAGCTTTGATTGTTCAAGAAGCTTTTTCTTCATCTCTCCAAGATTCCCCTCCAACTCCTGCAGCCTCTTTCTGCGCTGTTCACTAAGTCTGCACCAAGGCACAAGATCAATCCCCATTCATCACATATAAATAAGTGAAATACACACAGACGTACATACTTGGCCTGATTTGTGTCTTTCTTTGCAGACTGTAGAGCCAAAACAAGATCTTCCTTCTCCTTTTGCAGAGCGTTCACAGCCGTCTGGAGTACTTGTACACTTTTCTGTACACAAGTTTCAAAAGTCAATACCCATTTAATGCACACTTTTATATCCCTCACAGCCTTTATCACTGTGTTACCTGGTGCTCCGACTGCATTGGCTCCAGCTGGCTGTCATTCTGGCACATTTTCTTCATATACGCTTCTTTTAAACTCAACACTTTGTTAAGTTCGATGAGTTCCTTTGAGAGCTGTGCCTGGCGGAGTGCATGATGGGCGGTGAAAGCTTCTGGGGAGTCCTTACCCGAAGAGGCTGTAGCATCCTAATAGATGCAGAACCAGATGAATACTATTGTCCTTCTACCAGGAATTGAGGCATGGAATTTTGAAATGACCACAAACTATACGTACAGCGGACGAGTTCTGGCTCCCATTTGCACATGTCTCTTGCTTGTCCTCTGTGCCCATTGCGTCAATAGTAGCAGCCATTTCTTCACTTTCATTCTTAAACAGTAACAGTTATGTGACGGGGGGCAGTTTTTACAAAAGTATGTAACCCACATTTTTTAAACATTTGCAAACCTTTAGTTCCAACACAAGTTCTTGTAGATTTTTCATGATTTCAAGATTCTCCTTCAGCTCTTGGTCTTCAAGGCTTACCAACAGCTTCTCAAGGTCTATAGCACATCTGGAAAAATGGCATTATTAATGTTACTTTAGTAGGTGAATGCTGAAGTAGAATTTGCCTTTGACTTACGCTTCATGTTGACGTAGCTGTTCCAGTTTGCTCAACAGTTTCTCATTGGTTTGTTCTGTCTAAAAGAATTTAGACATTAGACCCTTTTTCAAACCATACCAGAATATCAGTGGAAGTCAAAATGCCATAATCATCATCATCATTTTAATTTTAAATGGTTGAAGTTTAAAACATTTAAGCATATCACTAAATGACCTCATAAAGAGCACTAAAAACAACAACATAATGGATAAAATAATATAGGATGTTTGTGGGATGCCATGTCACTGTATAGTCTTGGGTATTGAGCTCATTTAACTTCTATGCAAGAGTAGTTTTTACCACAATTATCTTCTCAAACATGAAGGCAGTTTGTCCGGCCGCCTCACTCAGCTCGCGGCTCAACTTGTTGTTTTCATCCTGGAGAGCGCGATTTCTTTCCAAGAGCTTTGTCACTTTCTCTGTTGACTCCACCCTGTGAAGCACCAACAGTTTATATGCATTTGTGTGATTTTCCACTGGCAGAATTCCTAATGTCAAAATCTTTACCCAGACAACACTGGTTCTACTCCTCCCCGGGCATGAAGGAGCATCACCTGCAGTTCTTGAACCTTAAAAAGAAAACACTTTAACAACATTTTTGATCGGCTACAAAAACATATAATTTGATGCATCCTCGTTTCTCCTCCTCTGCTGCCCATGCTGGAGGTTTCTCTACTGGAAAAGTGCGAGACACTTCGACACATTCACTACTCCTGCCACGACCTGATAAGCGTACCCTTCCCATACCACAAATAACTAAATAATGGATAAATGATTGAATATGCTTTAAGTGGGCTGGGAAAAGAACTGATTGACAGCTGAAAAATGGTGGAGGAAACGAGGAAGCAGCAAATGAGAGGGGCCATGACCAATACCTGCTGCTTGAGTTTGTTTAGCTCAGCTGCTCTGGGGTCAACGTTGATGATGGGTTTATTTTTGATTTTGCGAGCTCTGTCAGCATAACGCAGTGTATTAATAGTTTCTTCCATGTTTGAGTCAGCTGGGCTGATGCAAGCAATCATGAGTGTGTGGCTGTTTCCTCCCAAAGAATCTGTAGAAAAAAAGCATATTCATAATTCATAACATAATTTCATGCATTGTATCTGGCGTTGTGTTGTGAGTTGTGTCACGATAAGATAGTTTATTTTGGAATGAAATAATGAACAAGCTGTTTTTCTAGTGTTTCATTAGTTATAAGTAGCGTTGGTCTTTCGCATAAAATGCCAATAAGTGCCCGCTCGAAACCAGACGAAATGTGGAAACATGGCGCATGAATTCTTGTGCTAAGTAGTGTACATCCGTTTTAGGTGTGGCAAAAACGTTCCAGTTTTTCCTATTGATTTTTACCTGCAATGTCCAAGTACACTAAAATACACATTAGAAATACAAACTAACCTTGCAGCAAGCGGGTGAGCTTCGAGTCCCTGTAGGGAACAAAGGTATTTTTCTTGCTTTCATCCCCCAGAGCACTGATAACATTTCCCAATGACAAAAGACCTTTGTTGATGCTGATTCCTGTAGAAAACAAGAAGACTTTTGAAGATAGAAAAACGTTTTGCCAAACGGTAAACGATTAGCATGTTTATGGAAACTTGTCAGTGCATATTAAATGTTAGGGCCCAACCAATTTACAGGTTTTCCGAGTGGAACAGTGTTAGATATTAGCATTCCTTTATAGCAGTGTCTCCCAAAGTGGGGTCCGCGGCCCCCTGGTGGGCCGCGAGGGTACTGCAGGGGGGCCGCGGGAGGTCATAAAAAAAATTAAAAAAATAATATAATTATTTAATGTTAAATTTATAATGTTTTGTTTGTAATATTAAAATATTTGTGTTCATTATTTGACTTGAATAATCCACTGTAATCATTTTTGTATTACAATGTTTGTAGCAGAGGCTATTTCCCCAAAATAAAATAACCAGAAGAGCCTATTCTTAATGTTGTCTTCTTGGTTATTATTTTGGGGGGCCACGCAGACCCGTCAGATTTTTAAGGGGGCCTCGGTGTTACTGAGTTTGGGAATGGCTGCTTTATAGAATCATTGTCCAACTTAGTAACATGGGTCAGTTCAGTGGTCAGATTCACAGCTGGACATTTATATTCAGTTTACAACAGTATTTTATTTATACAAACAACAGATTAACAAGTGATTAACAATGAAGCAGATTTGAAGTCTGGTGTATGAAAGTGAAAGATTTCATGAGATGGTGCTTGATCTCTTTGTGTTATGTGGGTCGTGTGGCTAGGCCCAGCAGAATGAGGTAGGAAAGTTGCCCTGGAAAAACATCAGCAGAGCAGAATCCAACTCTGTGCCACAACATACACATAGGTCAAGTCCAAATAAATAATAATCAAATTAAACATTGCTGGACTGTGTGGTGCTTGGAAAAATGAGAATAAATGAATATATACACATGTCCCTTGATTTTGTTTTATATAGTTTAATACCCAGTTGGTGCAGGGATATTAAACTCACTTTTGTATGCCGCACACCCACAAACCACAACCCTACTTTGGGAACCGCTGTAAAAAGAATTACCTTCCTTCAAGCGGTCTCCCTCGGCTTTGGTTTTTTTTTGCCTTTCAGAACCTGCCAAGTCCACAAGGTGCAACTTCGAGACTACAGAATCAGACCTGAAAAAGGAATAGTTACCATAATTAAGACAATGTTAATTGGTTTGGATTGTATTTAAGTCTGCAACTTCTTGTTTATCAATTATATATTGCATCAATTACATGTTAAATGTCTTACTTAAATCAAGTTAAAATTATTTAACCCATTTATTCATTTCAGTGTATTAACTTACACTAAAGGCTTGTCTATGCATTTTAAAGTTCAAGAGACCCTATATTAGTCCCACATTAGGGATATTTCAAAGAGGCAGGTATGCATTCTTACAAAACAGTGTAACAAGTGCATATTTTACAAGTTATTCAAGGAATCCCAGTTTCACAGAAAAACACACCACATTTAGCGATTACTCAAATGCACAACCACTAAACATAACAACCTTCATCTTACTTATCTTTCCCCCGGCGTTGCTCCAGTGTGATTGTGAAAATGGCATGAGAGCGTGAAGAAGCAGCATTCATGGCGGTAGAGCCCACTGTACGAGCAGAGTTCCCCTGCTCCAGGCAGCTGACCATCTCCTGAGCAGAGATCACCTGCCTTTCAGTTAAGCCTACCAGCTGGGGGAAAAAAAAAACAAATCACATTTCACATTACAAGAAAACACTAGGACAGAGGTATTGTATGTCCAAGTCATCGACCACAGCACCAACCTTGATGCCCTCTTTGGGGTCTTCCCGAATGCTGACAACTGATTTCTCTTTACTTGTAGAAAGCAAATCAAGAATGTCTTCGTTATAGATCTACAAGAAATGCATAATCACCACAGGTATAATTACAACACTGAGTCAGCCTGACAATATTGACATATTCGAACATTTTACAATTAACAGACCTCGAGGTAGGACACGACAAGGCCAAATTCACACTCTGTGACATTCTCTTTTTCTTCAAATATCCTTCTAATAACACGAGGTATTACTCCAACAGAAGGGTCACACTCTTGAGCTGCAGTGTATGTGCCTCCCATGGAGTACGTCTTCCCTGATCCAGTTTGCCCATAGGCGAGCACAGTGGCATGGTAGCCTAGAAGGAAGCAAGTTAAGATAAAGTGCTTGTTTACCTTAAGGCTAGGCTGAATATTTACATTTTTATGATTCTCATTCCTATAAACTATTATAAATGTATTTCAACTTTCTTGTATAACTGTGCTCTAATAGACCTTTTTAACAAGAATCTAACTGTATCAAGCTTTCCATATGCACTTTTGATTTTTTTTTCCTAAACTATGTTGCTAAAGACTGGAGCCCCTTGCTCTAAACAATTTTATTTTATTTGTATAAAACTATATACACTGGTGGTATAAAATTATCTCTAATTACATTAATAATTATAATTTAAACAAAGCAGTAACTACGGAACATAATAAAAACTTAAACCCACCTTTGAAAAGGCCAGACAATAACGAGGACACTGCAGATTTGAATACCTCTTCTTGTTCGACAGTTGAGTCAAATACATAATCATAGGTGAACGCCTTTTCAGTTCCAACAATTACCTAAAACCAAGCAAAAAATATGATTCTTATCTAAACCCCTTTATATAAAATGTGCTTATACGGACAGTCAACGGCAGCAGTCACAGACCTGGGACACTCCAGGCACAAAGGTGAGGCAGCACTGACATCCTTCATTGATTTCTTTGGGCACCAGAGGTCGACAACGCAAGGCAACCCGGACAGGGATCACCTTTGCATCCTCACTCGTCATGATGAACTCAAATCTGCCATTTAACAAAAATCCACCAGTAAAATTATTGACGTCTTAAAAAACAAAAACACCAAACATATGATCATGAAATATATAAGCAACACTTTGAGAAATACATTTACAACAGTTTCAAGCAAGTCAACATTGTGATTTAAAGGTACAATGCACATAATTCACATCTGTCAATAAGTGAAGCTTCCCTGCCCAACAGAAAACATATTGCCGTTTCTGGTCTCAAGGTACTTGACATACAAACCTAATCTATGTTTTAGCTACATCAAACAATCTCGCGATAAAATAAACAAACAAAAAACAGATCGCATTTTACGACCAATTATACAGGACACTAGTAATTTCGCAGGGTTGACGCTTATTTTGTTCATGTGACTAAGAGAAAAGGTGACTAATAACAATCCTTTTTACCCCAGATAGCTATAAAAACTAAAGAAAATTGAGCTTAGAACAGTGATAGCCATACATACTATGTCAAAATTACAGAGAAACTTTTGATCTTAGAAAAGTTAGCATGTTAGATCACATTAACGTTAGCTGTTAACTAGTTAGCATACATAACGCTACACTAAAGTATACGTTTAGCATGATTTAATTTCCTTCACGTCCAAATGTGAGCAAAGATAATTCCAGAAGCCTGTATAAATAAACACGGTCATAACACAATAACATACCCACTGTGATGTTCGTGAAATGTTATCCTTCATGAACACTTTTACAAATCAATGGTTTTTCTGTTTTGCTGCCATTTGATGCCCGCCACTTTCAAACGTAAGCCCCGCCCACTCGAATCCAACATGACTGCCACCATCTGGATCGGAGTGAAACATACTAACTTAGTTCCAGATACCGGAGTGTTCTGTTCTGAGCGTTCTGAGGCAGGAAAATCCAATTCAATCCACTTTATATATATAGCACATTTCATAGACACAGTTTCCAAAGTGCTGCACAATAAAATACCAATTAAAACAAATCCATAGTAAAACAGTAAAATAATACAAAATCAAATATGAAAAACCGTGCGTACAAATATGTATAAATATAAAAATAACAATAAAAAGATTAAATAAAATAAAATACAATGAAAATAAAAGGACCATACAACTCACGCAGTGTTAAAAGCCAGAGCCTAAAAATGGGTAAAAACTTATGGTAAAAACACATTTTATCACAATACTTGTTGATGATTATTTGAACCCTCAGAGCTTATTGCATATTACTTCAATATGATCGAACTAAAGCAGGGGTGTCAAACGCATTTATTTTAATTTTTGAATTTATTTCTTTTACATATTTTTGTGTATTGACAAATTAACTGTATTTAACATTAATGTGTTTATTATTTTCTAGTATGTTTGGATTTAACCACAACTGGGCCAAATATTAAGAATAAATAGTAACTTAACTATAAATAAATAGTAACTTAACTATAAATAAATAGTAACTTAACTATATACAATTTCTTTGCCTGTCTTGTGTATTCTTGTATTCTTTGTTTCTGTAGTAAGCTAATGATTGGGATTTAACGTTATCTATTTCCAAATATGGAGTCATTTGGTACACTTGGTTTGGCGGGCAAATCAAGACAAGGGCCAATATTTGAGCATAACATGATTTTGAATGCAAAGTATAAATATGCCCTAAAGCTTTTTGGAAAGAGGTTAGCTGGTTAACAACAGTAAAAAATAATAATGCATCAGTTTTATATAGCGCTTTTTTGGACACGCTTTACATGTCAGTATTCTTTCACTCCATATACTGTGGAGATGAACTACTACTGTAGCCACAGCTGCCCTGGGGCACACTGACAGAAGCGAGGCAACCAGTATGTGCCATCGGCCCCTTCGATCACCACCAACCATTCACACACACACCAGACTCATTCTAGGCAATGGGGGTGAAGTGTCTTGCCTAAGGACACAACGGCAGTTTACAGTCGCAGCCGCCCCACTGTGGCATCAGGTGTTCCCAGAGGTTAAGTGTCTTGCCAAGGACCTTCTGGCTCAAAGGCCAATGCTCTACCTGAGCTACTGTCGCCCTAAAACTCCCTCTACCACACACAGATGGAGTGAATGGGGAAAATATTATAGCTGATCTTTGGCGACAACATTATTATAAACTTTTCAACTGTGTGCCTAGTAAATGTTGAAAATGTTGATTATGAAGAAACAATCGCCACCCAAGCGATTTATCAAGCTGTCAATGTCTGATAATAAATCTACTGGAGTAGACCAGATTTCAGCTGAACATCTTATCTGGAATAAGATGTTGGCTGGCTCGTCTCCTGGCAGCATGTTTTAACGCCTTTGTTGTGGATTGGTTCATTCCTAATCCCATGATGAACATTTGGTTTAAAGCAAATCATGGATGTGTATTTATCACGGAAATAATTATTATGTAAATATAGACGTACAAATTCCACTGTTTTAACATGTTTCTTAGATGCCTCTAAAGATTTTGATTGTGTGAATTACAGGAAATTGTTAAAGAAATTAGTCTCAAGCAGCTGTGCCTAAATATCTAATTTGATGTCTTTCTTATTGGTATATATACTCATCAGCAGGTCAAATGGGACAAATGTGTGCCAGAACCATTTCAGATTTGTAATGGTGTTAGACAGAACAGTCTGTTGTGCAAAACTGGCTGTATAGTTGGTTGTGCTTTAATTAATCACTTTGTATGCGGCCAACCTGGTGGTGTTTAACCCGAGTTCAGCCGGTCTCCAGCAGTTGTTGCATTTTTGCTCTGAGTTTGGGGAACTACAGGATGTGAAATACAACTCCACTAAAAGTGTAATCATGATCTACCGGACTAAGGAGCACAGATCACTGAAGTTGTCTGACTTTATGCTCTCAGGGAACACCTTGACTGTATGTGATGTTGTACCTTGATCAAAACATAACTGACCGTTTGGCCAAAGACAAGGACATGTACCGTCAGTGCGGGGTGTTACAAGCGGACACTCTGTCTTGGAAACTCTCCTCCTGCTCTGTACAGGTGAAAGTAGCTGCTGTTTTTTCTTGTTTGTGTCTATGTTGATCTGGACCTCGAGGCTGCAATAAAATTACCTATCTATACTTACTATCACAATAATACAAACTATTATTCAATGTACATGGTACAAACACTGACACATTGACTAACAATCAAAGCAGATTGTGGTGAAGATAATTCTTTACCGTTAGATGAATAAATACACCTGATGATTTTGGCACACATTTAATTCTGTCTGCCACATTTAATGCAGACAGATGTTTACAATACTGCAGTTCACAAGTTAAGTGCAATTTCATTTAGGAATTGGTCATTATAGCTTTAGGATTAGTGCAATAGTTTAAGGAGCATATAGATCAAGAAGAAGGAAGAACAAACACATTTTTTGTTAAAACATTTAGAGCGGTGGAAAGAGAATTTAGCCAATGTATCAATAACAAATTCATGTCTTTATTTTTAAAGGCATATTTATTATTAAAATTATACTGTATCTATATTCATATTTTTCCAAATGTTTTCCACTTTCTGTGATATAACAAAATCTTTAGAAATGTACGAGTTCAAATAGATAAGATAAATTGCACATGATTTTATCATGCAATATGAGGATCTAATGCTTTGTATAGTTTGGGGTAACATCTATGTAACAAAACAATTTCTAGATAAACGCTTGTTATTAAGTATTACTTCAAATGTACAAACATTGAAACATTGGCAAACTGCAAACTTGTTATATCCCATACTAAACAGAAGCTGGCTTACTAGTTCCCCTGGTGATGTATTGTAAACATGTGTTTTGAAGCTCAAGAAAGATTACAAATGTTGTCATTTTGATTGTGTACACTACCAGGTTTACTACTACAAAGGTTTACTTTTGAATGCGCTGGGAAACGGCTGCAGGTCCTAGCTCTGAAACAGTTGTTTTGTGCTTTACAATTTGTCTTTTTCTTGCTTTTTTCTGCCAGGGATGTTGCTGCAGTACAGTGTTCATGGTTTTACACTGGTCCAGACCAGAGCAGAGAGGATTCCTGGTCCAAACAAAGCGGATCGGGTGAAAATCCACTGGAGGAATGCTGACTTTTTGAAAAATGCTAATGAAGCATTTAGCTTACTTTGGACTAGAGCAGAGAAAAAGGTCTGAACCAAGCGGGTACTCCACCTTTTAAACTGTCCTGCTCCACCCAGAGGCTACTCCATCTGTGCTGCTCTGACCTGTCCTGCTCCACCCAGAGGCTACTCCATCTGTGATGCTGTGACCCAGAGGCTACTCAATCTGTGACGCTGCGACCCGTCCTGCTCCACCCAGTGGCTTCTCCACCTCTGCTGCTCTAACCCGTCCTGCTCCACCCAGTGGCTTCTCCATCTCTGCCGCTCTGACCCATCCTGCTCCACCCAGAGGCTACACCACCTCCACTGTGACCTGAAGGGCTGTTGCTGATTAATAATGATAATGGGCGGCACGGTGGCTGAGTGGATAGCACCCTCGCCTCTCAGCAAGAAGGTCCTGGGTTCAAATCCTGGTCAGACCAGGGCCTTTCTGAGTGGAGTTTGCATGTTCTCCCTGTGTCTGCGAAGGTTTCCTCCAGGTGCTCCAGTTTCCCCTACCACTGAAAATATGTACAATAGGTCTGGCATGCGCCTCCTGTTTGGCGACCCTGCTCCCATCTCTGTGTGGAGTGAGAGGACAAGTGCCCAAAAATAATAACAATTGTAAACCGCTTTGTGAATCTGGTCTGTGAAAGGCGGTATATAAATAAAGATTACTTACTTACTTAATATTTTTAATTTTTTTAGAATGATCAATTTAATTTTTTCTGCTACTGGACACCTGAATTTCTCCTACAGGGATCAATAAAGTATCTATCTATCTACCTCTTCTTCGGTATGAAAATTGTTAATCAGTTGATACATGAATAATACCGAGATCAAACAAAGTTTTCAAGAAAATTGTTTTGCGTTTCTAATATCCTTGTAATTAATGCAGTTCTGACAGGCAGTTCAGTGGGTGATCAAGTTTTTACCATTTTATTTAATTAATACATTGATATTCTAATTCCACGCAGACACAGTACGTGGGGTACGTCACAGGGACATACTTACAGAAACGACTTTTTCCTCCCTAGTAATGCGATGCGATAACCCATAAGCTACGCATTATGTGCAGAGATTTGACGCAACCTAGTTCAGAATCCGAATTCGACGTGCCGAAGACTGCGACGTACCCACAGACTGTTCACTGGGCTTTGGCTTTTACCCGAACCTAGAAGCAGCTGGGAGACCGGTGCGGATCCAGGGGTTTTGAACCCGAAGGATTTCTCCCGACTCTTGGACGAGAATGCTCCAAATACGTGGATGACAGCCTCCAAACAAACCGTGAAAACTTTCAACTCCGCATCTGACGTGGGGGTGTTATTGAGATTTGCTAAGCAGGTCCAAGAGCAGGCATGATGCAGGTGCAAACTGGGGGGTAATGCTTGACGCGGTTCATTATGCCATGTCAACTCCGCATTGGCAGATGCCATTTTCCTCTGCTTTATTCCAACGCCTAGAATGCCAATATTGTGGGCCTGTCTAACTAGAAGTTCATAAGGCTGTGGTAAACTGGTACAATGAGAGACTACGCCGTCCTAGAAGCGCGCAGCATAGGCTAAAGCCTCTATGGGTCCTGCTGACTCGAGTTCCACACTAGGAGAGTGTAGCGGGGCTTCAGCGCCCTGCTGTCGGCTTCACATCTGGACTCTGCCTGCTGTCGTCTGCGGCCTGCCGGAAAATTGCATTCTCTGAACTGTGCCGTTTAAGGGGCCGACAGCCACACTGTTGGGTTAAGGATAAGGGTGAAGATTCGCTTAGGTCGAGGCTGAAGCACCGTGGTGCGGGCATATATCAGGAGAGCAGTGATTATACTGCTGAGCGTATGTTGGGGGAGCGCAAGCGTGACATTGCAGTTCATTCTCGCTTTTGAGTCGTCAGCCATAAAAAGCGTGGAAGTGGAGTATTGTCCGTCACACGTCTCAGCGCAGTGGGATTTGTACGTGTGGTCCGTGTCGCCCCCCGCCCTTCCCGCGGTGACTGTGATGGGTCGGAAGCGGTGTGTCGGTGCAGATTGTTCCAAGATGGCGGCCGGGTGCTGCGGGGTGAAGAAGCAGAAGCTGTCGGGATCTCCCGCGTCGGGGGGTCCTGGCGGGGTGGGGGCGGGGAGCGGGGCTCTGACAGGAACCGGACATTGTGGCTCTGACTCGGGCATTGGCTCCTCGGTGACAGTAGCAGCAGCAGCAGGGAGTGTGAGCAGAGTGAACGGCCTGGGGGGTGCCGGGGGCAGTGTGAGCGGTGTAGGGAGCAGCGGCGGCACAACTCTGGCCCCAGCCCCGACCGGGTACTCCTCATCCGGTCTCTCCCCAAGCCTCAGCCCAGGCTCGGGTAGTGGAGGCAGAAAAATGGTGGTCTCCGCAGAAATGTGCTGCTTCTGTTTTGACGTGCTTTATTGTCATCTTTACGGATACCAGCCCCCGAGAACACCCAGGTTTACAAACGACCCCTAGTGAGTATTATCTGTGCTCTTTTGTTGTTTCTTCTGCACAACCGAGCTAAGTAGTTCGAGATCTCCTGGTCGATAGGCTATTCTGAATGATCATTTTGGTACATTTTATTTTTCAAGAATTCGGCGAGCCTGCATGTTTCAACACTTTTGTAAGGCAAAGATGTTTTTTCACCTCAAAACTAGGGTTTGATTTAAATTACAGTCTGAGGCCTTGTCAAGTAGCTGTCAAGGCCTGTAGCTGCTCAAGCAAAAAGCTAGCGCTAAATGATAGCGCTAGCTTATAGCATTTATGCATTTATGCATATGGTCAAAGTGATATCCTGCACTATTCGCGGTAGATTGGCAGATGTGTTTTGATTGGTGTGTTTTGAGATATAAAATACTTGTTTTAAGTTTGAGAACTGTAGGGTGACAGACACACATTTCAGAGCTAAATGCTAATAGGAGCTAACCCTAACACAAAGTAAAAGGGTGGAACAGCTCCGATAGAGTCCATAGACTGCATTTTGTCGCTGGATTCAACCCTGCACCCCCACCCCCACATGAAGATGCAATTAATAAATGAGACGCATACTTCTGGTGTTTTCATGGACGGTTTCTATCTAAAAACCGCTAATAAAAATAAATAAAAATAAGAACCTCTTGTCACACTTGACTAGCCTTTACAAAATCGCTTAGAACAGTCTATTACTCACTGTATGTTACATTTTTCTCCTGTACATTAAGATCTTTCATCGCACCACAAGTAGATGTTGATGAAACCAAAAGCTTGCAATGTCACTGCACTGAAAAAGAGGCCGTTTAGAAAGAAGAGTCGGCCCGTAAGTTGAATAGTTATTAACAAAGACATTAGTTTTGGATATTATTTCCCATGGTTGTGTGGAAATTATATGTATTCGTGACGACAAGGACAGTTATTTATGAATCCTTTTTTTTTTAATTGCTACCATTTTAAACATCAACTATGTTATCGACGACCTAAACATGTCCTAAGGCACTGTCTTTTTGTTTTTTTTCCAGAAACGTCAGAACTATTAAGAGGAAACAAAATACATTTTTATTTCCATTAAGTTTTCAGACGACATAATTTGCATACAAACACCCAGCATTTGACCATCACATACAACCAGTCCAAATAGTTTTTTTTGTACCTATTGTTTTATGTTTATGGTATGGGGGTAAATCCAACTAATACTTTGAACAACCTTTCTGCGTTTTCTTACTCTGAAAAGGTTCAGGTTGTAAGGTTCATTGTAAATTGAATTGACCCACAGCTTCTGTTCCGGTTCAGAGTAAAAACATAGACTAATCAGCTGTGAACATGCACTCACACATCTTAACTATGTTGGTTAATAACTAAATGTATTTTTTAAATAATAACCTTTATTTATTTATATATATATATATATATATATATATATATAAAATACAATTTTTTACAGAAAAGACTATAAATTAGGAATTTGTGATTCTTCAGGCAGGGTTTACCCTCCCCATTACCCTCTCCTCCTACCAAGATTGCAGTGGTAATTTTTTTTACTTTTTTGTACTTGCAGCATAGCTTGTCTATTGTGCTTTCAAACTTTATGACATTCCAAAACTCCTGTGAGGAATTTAATTCAACATTGACATTTCAGTGACAGCTGGAGACAAAAAGCATAAAGGACTTATAGAGGCTGCTATTAAAATGAAACATTTCAACGGCCTTAAAATATGTAAAACTTTCAGCTGTACAATCTGCTTAAAACAATTACATTTACGATGACGGTAGACGGCAACACTAGTTACTTTTCTTTGGAACTTTGGTTGTTTTCTGTGACACGCCTTAAATGATCTGCGCAAACTGCTTGAAATTGTATTATAATAGTGATAAAGTGATAAAGTCTTCTAGATTAATGGCGTTTCCCTGTACAGTGATGTACTGTGAGAAATGCAACACTAACGATTAGATCGTGGACCCCCAGTGCCACTCTCTGCATCTAGTTAAGCCCCCAAGAAAACAGTGTTTACAAACTTTGTACAGTCTACTGTGAAGAAAACCTGATTTTTACTCTTTCTGCTAAACCATGGTTGCTTAATCTTTTTGTGTTTCAGCCCGCTGTTTGTCACATGGAAAATAGGCAGAGACAAGCGGCTGAGGGGTTGTATAGGTACATTTTCTGCCATGAATCTGCACTCAGGACTCAGGGAGTACACCCTTACCAGGTAAGCAAACATTGTTAATGAGCAGAATGTATTTTGAAGAATTGTGACAGCAATCTTTTTTTTCATCATTCAATTCTTCCTTAGTGCCCTTAAAGACAGCCGCTTTCCCCCAATGACAAGGGATGAGCTGCCTCGCCTCTTCTGCTCAGTGTCTCTTCTCACCAACTTTGAAGATGTTGGAGATTACCTTGATTGGGAGGTAGCTTATTAAGTTTATTGTATCTTTGGCCATAACTATATAAAGCATACACATTGAAATACGTCAATCCTAGGTGGGTGTTCACGGTATTAGGATAGAGTTTTTCAATGAAAAAGGATCAAAGCGTACAGCCACTTATCTACCAGAAGTTGCGAAGGAGCAGGGTGAGATTTGGTGTAGTATTCCTATCTATTTCATGCTTTTTTTTAGGTGTTTGGAAACTTAACTTTTGTACATATTCTTTTAAAGGTTGGGACCACATTCAAACCATAGATTCCTTACTTCGAAAGGGAGGTTACAAAGCTCCCATCACAAATGATTTCAGGAAGACCATTAAGTTAACCAGGTAAGATGCACTATAATAAAGTTGAAACCTTTCAACTATTTTCTTTTCCTCAAATATATGGACTTCCTTAACTTCTTGTGGCCTAATGGGCAATTATTTCTACTGCATCTCACATTTCCTATGTTCCTAGGTACCGTAGCGAGAAGATGACAATGGCTTATGCAGAATACATTGCCCACCGCCAACATCACCACTATCAGAATGGCATTGGGCACCCTCTACCACCCTACAACCATTATTCCTGACAGCGAGCCGCATGACCAATCACTGGACCTCTCTGCGGACCTTTTCCCAGGAGAGCCCGCCCCCTCCTGGTCTAGTTATTTTTACTACTGTACCATTTTATGATGATTGTTTCCGTTGCCATGCTGGCCGTTGTTTGGACGGTGACATGGCAACGGGTGGCAACAGTGGATCAGCTGATCAGGCAAACATTTTTTTTGTCCGTGGCTACTTTTTGCAGCAAGTAGGAATTTCGTTCCCCTTTTTAAAAAAAAAAATTTATGGAATGTTTTCCATTAACCCAGAGTCTTTTGAGAAAATCTAATCAGGTGTTTGATCTGTGGATGGAAGGAAGTCTCTCCTTTTTCTCTCATTGTTCTAGCCTATGCTACAATTGTTATACTTTATCACATATTAATTATCATTCATATTTTTTTCTTTAAAATGTATTAAACCTGTATACCATGTAGCAAGGCAATTGCAGTTTCCTAAGGCTGTGTCTTATTGGATCAATACCTCTCAAAAATAGATTGATTGGTGAGGTTGGTTTAGCTTTGTAGTGGTAGTTTGAAGTTGAACATATATTATATACTCAAGTTTGAATTGTAGACTTGTGATGGCCCTTAAATAGCGGCTTCTTGGGTTTCTTTTTTGAGGTTCTAAATTCCTTGCCGTGTATCTGTGTGGATATGAAATGTCTTAGATATTATATTTGCCTATCAAGTCCTACCTATTCAGTTTTGTATTTGGGAAATCCTCAATCCATCTGGAAGATAGTTTTATTTTCATTTGAGTTCAGTAAAATACAAAAAACACTTATGAATTAGAGTAAAAGAGCAAACGGTCCATAGTTGATGGTACTATGCTATCGTGATGCTTTAATGGAAACGGTCTATTCCTTAGTTCATTGCAAGGGAATCTCTGACTCCAAAGCCATATTCTTGTTTCTCACTTTCCGTGGGGTTGTGTTGTGTGTTCATCACATTTGTGGTCAGCGTTTGAATATGGTTGATCTATATAACCTTATGTGCTAGTCTCTGGGCTGTAAGTTCTTTTTTTCCCCCCTTTTTTCATGCTATGAGGAGCAAAACATTGATGTACACAAAGTATTTTGGATGTAGAATTGGCCTTGATTGTGCTCAGTTTATTTAACAACCTGTAAACATATTCATTTTGTGCATACCATTTTGTCTGTGTAGACTTGCACAGTCTAGCTACACCGTTGTTGGTCATTGAAAGCGTCCTTTTCAGTCTTTTAACTGTTCTTCAGCTTATTAAATGGGTTCTTGGTACTAAAAGTATGAAAGTTCAGCATCGGACTACATGTTGATCTGTGAAGATCTAGATTACAAAGTTATTGAATCAAACACTATTGTCCAATGTGAACCTTGTTTTTCCCCCCCAGCCCGTTACATCCGCACACTTGAACTGGATGGAATTGTATTGAAGATTTTTTTGGTGATCCATGATGGGATTTCTTTTATGATCTTTTTTTGAGAGGTTCTTGTTACTTAGCAAAGATATAAGTTGATAACAGCCTTTACTGACAGACATGCTATTTTTCTTTATGCAAAATTTACAAGGGCTTTTGGCACTCCATCCACAGTAATCCGAAATGACCCAATTTACATTGTGTTGCCTTAAGAGAATGGAAAATTGGACCAGTAGATGACTGTTTTGGTGTAATCTGGTTCTGGAGGAACATTAGAAAATTAGATTCTTTTACTATGGAAGTTAGCAGTCTCTTTTCTTCCGTGTAAATTCAGCTGCCGGGCCTCTGTAATGTAATGCTGTGAACTGCTAGGGCACACATTTTTCATACTTGCCACCAGTACAAAAGTGATCTGATGACAGTACATTGGAAACAGTAGAATATTCATTTTCTGGTCCATTAACCACAGCATAACCTGAATTTCTCTGCTGCAAAACCAAATTGATCATGTCCTTACATAATAGTTGCACATGCAATGTGTCAACTTGCATGTATGTATCAGTATGAGACCCAGTGTTGTATCCATTATGCTTGATCTATGGCTTACTCTTTAACCATTAAGAGATTTAAAAGACAAATATGGTGCTATCGGACCTCATATTGGGGTGGTCACTGCTTGTGACTGGTCATGCGGACTCATTTATCATATCATATATATATAATATATATATATATTTAAGATGTTACATTAAAGGTTTTCTCTCAATGATCTTGCTGTAAAATGAGGCACACTTTGATTATCACCAAGCAAACTTAAGCCCAGAGAATCTGTTGATTGTGGGATTTGGGATCAATTCCCTATGGGAAAAACAGAAGAGTTTTGGGTGCATACATGTCTATGGGGCTATCGAATGTACTGTTAATAGGATCTTGCAGCAACACATGGAGTGAAAATCCTGTGTGTAACCTTTTAATATCCTTGATATATGCAGATTTGTTTAAACAGTGTTTTTGTTTTAATACAAGTATACATCCTGTTGGGTTGAAAGGACAAGAAGTCACGCATTGACCCTACCCCCCTGTTTACTCCCCACACTGTGGGCCAAACCTCATGGCCTTGTTTGTTAAGGTGTGTGACATGTCGCTCGCAAGATGGTGACAGTTGTAACAGCCGTTGCCTTTCCCAAACGTTTGGATGCTCCTTTTCCTTAAAGCACATCCAGTTTTCTTTGTGCTGCTTAATTCGTTGACCTCCTCAGAAGGATTATTGTTGAAGAAAGCATCTCATGGTGGGTCAGTAGAGTTTAAGTACAGATGAACTAAAGGCATTGATACCTCATGGGACGGCAATAGTAGTTAGTTGTAGCAGACAGTGTTTTGGTTCCATACCAGGGTTAGAGTATAGCCTCAGCAATTCCTGACGTGTCATTCTCATATTTCGGGGAATGCTCGAGCTTGTGTTACCTTCGTATGTTCTAATGAACCAAAGATGCCAGCGGCCATGCCCAAATGCTGCTTACAGGCCTGGCTTCCTGTCCTTCCAAAACACCTTGCATACAACACGTTTTTGTTTTTTCTGTGTAATTGTTCAAATGTCTTGATTGGTTTTCGCAACCTGATTAATCAATGAATTTCATTGAGTCTATCTATAGAGCATTACTTGCTCCTTGGATGATTTGTAATGGTTGAAAATGTTACTTTATTTTTGCTATAATTTACAAAAATGAAAATCCCATGGTGTGCCTCCTAGCTTTATGGGTTTATAAATGTTTTTTTTTCTCCCTAAAGACCAGCAGTTATACTTTGTATAAAAGATCCTCCCCCTCACTGTTTTTTTATGCCATTAAATATGAAATGCCTGTTTTCTTTACTCTGGACCCAGTAGCTGCACTGGTATACAATCGCACTGATTGAAGACTTAAAAAATCAAAACAATAATGCCAGATAAAATAACTACAATAAACTTGTTTGAGACTTTTATAAAAAAAAAAATAATTAAAAAAACTTAGTTTTTGTACATCAAATTCAATTGTTTTGAAATGAATATTTTGGATCTAGTTAAAAATTTGGTTTTCTATGTTTTAGAGACAAGTGTGTCAATGTAAAATAAAATTCTGTTTCAGCCGGCCCAATGGGCTGGGAGGGTTACCTGGTGTAATTCCTTTTTTTTATATATATATATCTCTGCTTTAAAACTTGAAAAAACATGATGGAACATTAAGAGCTGGGAATTTTAAGCCCACCCCCTTTTAGAACTAGACCCCTCTTTCCCTGAATTGCTGTTGGCGTAAGACTTGAAACGGGCATTTATGATAGTATGACTACAAACTGACACATTAAAGAAAACTATTGAAAAAAAGGGGGGAGTGGGATTAAAATATATATAGATGGGTTATTGGGTATGTAAGCAATGGCTGTGGAGATGTAGTTTTAAACATTATCTTTTAATCATTTATTCAATAAAATTGACATGTTGTGAAGCAACAATGCCTTTGCCTTCTGTCCTTTTTATTTACCAATTTTTATACAATTAGTGTAACCTTTGAGTTTAGCACATGTCCTTGAAGATTATTCTAAATGTTTTAGGTATCTTTTGCAATAGGAGCAGGAACTGAAGACTCCAAGTACACGAGTATACTGCATTTATACGTCAATAACACCATGGATTATAGTGTTATTCTGCAGTCCCAGATTTATCTTCTGATGGAAAAGGGACAATTATTTTAAATGCCTGACTGCTTTTAACCAAACAGAAGTGTGAACATCTAATTCACAAAAAAACGGACCCACAGGCCACACCACTAATGTTTTATACTGAGGCCATACATCAACAGTACAAAGGACTTTGAACAAAACTACATCTGCCAAATGGACCACTTTAATGGTTAATGGTAACTACGGCACACAGACAAAGCATCCCTTCTTACAGTGAAACATGTTACAGTAATAAAAACATGACATACAACTCGTCAATGTTACGTTTGAAGTATACTATCAAATGACTTCATGCAAATGCCACAGAAAACCTTTGTTGCACACGTGGAGTGATGCAAGATATCCTGTAATGGTGACATTTCAAATGAATCAGACTTACGGAACATTTATCTCAACAGACATGGGTACAAAACTGAAATATTGGCATTACAATTCAAATTGATAGTCTTTCACAATATGGGACGTGTATAGACACATACACATGAAATCCCTTCACTGTTAAACGGAATGATCAGAGTGTAAAAATGCCTCCGTACACACATGGACTATCTACTTTCAGTAATGGCAACAGGAAAAAAGAGAAAAGAAAAAAATACTTAACATTGATTAAATGATGATTGCTCACATGAGCAAAGCCTTTAGGAATTTGAAAACGCAGTTTAAGCGTCTATAAATTAAGTGTGACATCAGCATAGCAGGGGAAAACCCCGTCCCATTACTCACAGGTAGACTCACAAGTAGACTTGCAAAAGGCTTTAATTAAAAAAAGCAAAAAACATGGTTGTATAAAATAAGAAACTGGGCTTATAATTCCTATAACATTTGCATGCAAGCCTTTATGCAAGTCTACAACACAAAACACTGGTGCAAATTTGC